TCGAAAAGATAAACAAAATTGACCAACCTTTAGCTAGACTCACCAAGGAAAAAAAATAGAGAGTTCAAATAAAATCAGAAATGAAAGAGCAGTTACATCCAAAAAGCATTGCCAAGACCAATGTCAGAAGGCTTACAGCCTATGTTTTCTTCTAGTTTTATGGTTTCAAGTCTTACATTCTAGTCTTTAATCCATTTTGAGTTGATTTTTGTGTATGCTTAAGATGAGTAGTCTAGTTTCATTCTTTCGCATGTAGCTATTCAGTTTTCCCAACCCTGTTTATTAAAGAGGCTGTCCTAATTCCCATTGTGTATTCTTGCATCCTGTGTTGTAAATTAGTTGAACATATATGCATAGGTTTATTTCTGGGCTCTCTATTCTCTTCCATTGATCGAGGTGTCTGTTCTTATACCAATAATCAGTTACAACTGACACCACAAATACAATGGATCATAAGAGACTACTATGTATCAGACTCTAAAAGCAAAAATAAACAAGTGGGACTACATCAAACTAAAAAGCAAAGGAAACCATCAACAAAACGAATGGGAGAAAATATTTGCAAATCATATATCCAATAAGGAGTTAGTATTCAAAAAATATAAGGAACGCCTACGACTCAATAGCAAATAAACAAACAATCTAATTAAAAATGGGCAGAGGATCTGAATAGACATTTTTCCAAAGGAGACATCCAGATGGCCAACAGGCACGGGAAAAGATGCTCAACATCACTAATCATCAAGGAAATGCAAGTCAAAACCACAATGAGATGTCATGTCACACCTGTTAGACTAGCTGTTATCAGTATGCCAAGAAATAACAGGTGTTGGCAAGGTTGTGAAGAAAAGGGAACCCTTGTGCATTATTTGTGGGAATGTCAGTTGGTGCAGCCACTATGGAAAACAGGTGTCTCAAAAAATTGCAATCACATATGATCCAGTAATTCCATCTCTGGGTATTTACTGAAAGGAAATAAAAACAGTAATCTGAAGAGATATATTCACCCCTATGTTCATTGCAGCATTATTTACAATAGGCAACATATAGAAACAACCTAAATGTCCACAGATGGATGGATAAAGAAGGTGTGGTATATATACACAATGGAATATTACTCAGCCGTAGAAAAGAATGAGATCTTGCCATTTATGACAACATGGATGGACCTAGAGGTCACTATGCTAAGTGAAGTAAATCAGAGAAAGGCAACTACTGTATGATTTCACTTATATGTGGAATCTAAGAAACAAAACGAAAGTCATGGATTTGGAGAATAGAATGGTGGTTGCCAGGAGTGAGGGGGTTAGGGGGGAAGGATGAAATGGGTGAAGGGGCTTGGGAGGTACAGACTTCAAGGTATGAAATGAATAGGTCAAGGAGATGTGGTGTGCTGCATGCTAACTATAGTCAACAGTATTGTAGGTGCATATTTGAATGTTGCCAGGAGAGTAGATCTTGAAAGTTCTCATCACAAGAAAGAAAAAGAAAAAAAAATTTTTTTAAGATTTTATCTATTTGTCAGAGAGAGAGAGAGAGAGAGAGCACAAGCCGGGGGAGGGGCAGAGGCAGAGGGAGAAGTAGGCTCCCCGCTGAGCAAGGAGCCCAATGCAGGACTCGATCCCATGACCCTAGGATCATGACCTGAGCTGAAGGCAGACGCTTAACTGACTGAGCCACCCAGGTGTGCCTCCTTTTCAAGTTTTTGTTTAAATTCCAGTTAGTTATCACAGTGTAATATTATTTTCAGGTGTAGAATTTAGTGATTCATCTCTTACATATAACACCCGGTGCTCATCACAAGTGCCTTCCTTAATATCCAGCACCTATTTAACCGCATCCCACCGCCCATCTCCCCTCCAGCAACTCTCTCTGTTCTCTATAGTTAAGAATCTGTTTTCAGGTTTGCCTCTCCTTTTCTCCCCGCTGTGCTCATCTGTTTTGTTTCTTCAAATCTACATATGCGTGAAATCGTATTGGTATTTGTTTTTCTCTGACTGACTTATTTTGCTTAGCATAATACTCTCTAGCTCCATCCACATCATTGCAAATGGCAAGATTTCATCCTTTTTATGGCTGAGTAATATTCCACTGTATATATATACCACGCATTCTTTATTCTTTCATCAGTTGATGGACATTTGGACTCTTTCCATAGTTTGGCTATTGTAGATAATGCTGCTATAAACACTGGGGAGGATGTATCCCTTCGAATCAGTATTTTTGTATCTTTGGGTAAATACCTAGTAGTGCAATTGCTGGATTGTTGTAAGCAATTTTAGACCACAAGTAGAAAACACATTTTTGCCATTCTAATATGATAATAGTAAACTTTTTTTCTATTATGGATATTCTTCCATGACATTTAAGATACTATGTCTATGTTATTTATTTGTTATTTTCTTTGGTATTGGTAAAATTTTATGTTTCTGATGGCAAAAGAAATTATGGTTTATGAATTGTGATTATCAAGCCTTATTGAATTATTATGTCCATGGTCAAGGCAATATTAGAATGGATGTATTATGATTCCCAAATTGTGTTTTCTTTAACACTGGGTAACTTTGGGGCACCTGGGTGGCTCAGTTGGTTGAGCGTCTGCCTTTGGCTCAGGTCATGATCCCAGGGGCCTGGGATCCAGCCCCTTGTTGGGCTCCCTGCTCATAGGGGAGTCTGCCTCCCCCTCTACCTCTGCCTTGTGCACGCATTCTCTCTCTCTCTCTCAAATAAATAAATAAAATCTTTTTAAAAAATTGGGTGACCTTATTCTCCTGTACTCAGATGATTAATATAATTTAAGCTTAACATTTTGAAAACTGTCTTGTCAAATGGAAAAGTGAAATCATACCAATTCATTAAAGAATTACATGGAAAATTTTATCTTTAGCATCGCCTTCATCCCAACTTTCCTAAAAGGGTGCCTGCATGGCTCAGTTGGTTGAACGTCTGCCTTCGGCTCAGGTCATGATCCCTGGGTCCTGGGATCAAGTCCTGCATTGGGCTCCCTGCTCAATGGGGAACCTGCTTCTCCTCTCCCTCTGCCTGCAACTCTGCCTACTTGTGATCCCTCCCTCTCTCTCTCTCTCTTTTTCTCTCTCTCTCTCTCAAATAAATAAAATCTTTAAAAAAAAACCAGTTTGCTATGGAAAAAAAGTCCCATCAAAGTCCAGCCATCTATATCTATATCTATATCTATATCTATATCTATATCTATATCTATATCTATGTCAGTGTCCACAACACATTAAAACAGTATTGCTTTCTGCATGCTTTTAAACTTTACCCAATAGTATTGTTTTTTGCATTTTTAAACTTTATCAAATTAGATCAAATAATTTATCAAATAGTGTATCATGTTATCATTCTGTGACTTAGTGATTTTTGGCTAAAATTATTTTGGAGATTTATCTGAGTTGATTCTGCATAATTTATTTTAATTGCTGTACGGTATGCACATACCACAGCTTATAAATTCTGTTGATGAATCCTGTTGATCAATTCTGTTTGCTATTTCTAGTTTTTTGCCATTGCAAACAATTGCATATATGCTCTAGAGTTCGTCTAGGCCAGCATTGTCCAAGCTATAAGGCATGACTTACTAGTGATCTTGAAATTATTTTAGTGGGTTGAGACCAACATTTTCTTTTAAAAATGAAATAGGAAAGGATAAAATAGGATAGAGTAGGGGGAGAATAGAATAGAGTAAGATAGAAAAAATAGAAAAGAAGATATCCCTAAGTACCTCATATAATAAGGGTAAGAATTATTTTGTGAGACTTTGTTTCAGGTACATACATGTATCAAAAAAAGATTGAATGAAAGACACTGCTCTGGCCTAAATATTGTTAGGTTGCTCTTTAAAGTGATTATACCAGTTTACGTTTCTTATAGCAGTATGAGTGTGCTATTTGATCTGCATCCTCACTAACACTAGGAATTGTCCCCCTTTAATTTTGCAGAGGTGATGGGTGAGATCTAGCTCACTGTGACTGCATTTCCATGGTGAATTTGAGCATCTTTTAATATGTTTATTAATTGTTTCTGTGAATTGCCTTGTCTTTTGTCCATTTCTAAATTGGATTGTTTTTTCCTTACTGATTTTTAGGTATTCTTTATCTATTCTGGATGCAAATCCTTTGCAAGCCATCAGTTACATGTGTTGAAAATACCTTCTCCCATTCCTTGGCATGTGTTTTCTTCTGTTCATTTCATCTTTTAGTATGCCATATTTTAAAAAAAGTTTTAATGTAGTAAATTTTCTTTGTGGTTTATGCTTTTGTGTCTTATTTAAGAAATCTTTCCCTGCCCTAAGAGTCGCAAAGATGTTTTCTATACTTTCTTCCAAAAGTTTTAAAGTTTTGCTTTTTTCACAGTCCAGATGGCTTCCCTTGCGTTTTCTATGTTGACATACTACAAATTAAACTTTTTTATTTATTTATTTATTTATTTATTTATTTATTTATTTATTTTTAGAGAGAGTGAGAGAGGCAGAGGGAGAGAGGGATTCTTTTTTTTTTTTTTTTTTTTAAAGATTTTATTTATTTATTTGAGAGAGAGAATGAGATAGAGAGCATGAGAGGGGGGAGGGTCAGAGAGAGAAGCAGACTCCCTGCTGAGCAGGGAGCCCGACGTGGGACTCGATCCCGGGACTCCAGGATCATGACCTGAGCTGAAGGCAGTCGCTTAAACAACTGAGCCACCCAGGCGCCCAAATTAAACTTTTTTTAGTCTGTGTTTTTTCTCGTATGTTACAGTGTCCAAATTGTTGAAGCATGGTCTCAAAACTTACAAAGTGTAATATCTAAAGGTTATATTTTACAATATTAACTTTTTAATAATTGAGCACCTCTACTGCTGACTTTTTAATAATAGAGCTAATACAATTTTTGAACTATATACTTCTCAGATAAATAATGGCTTGTTAAAGTTGCAAGATGGTGTGTATATTCTTTATCTTCTCTGTTTTTCTCTAATAGAATTTATGTATTTATGTTTTTCAGTCACATTAACTTTATCCTAGAAGACAATCTTACAAGGATCTAGAAGGAACAGGATTAAAGATGACTGAACACAGGGCTCCAGAAATTTAAAACAATCAGGTACAAAATTTTTGGATGAAACATTCCCAACCAGGCAGTACATAATAAAACTGGAACATGCACAGGAAAACTTAAAATATCCCTGCAATACAGGGGAGGGTCCAGGAGAGGAGTTTTGAAATCGTCCTGGGTTCAAATACTGGCTCTAACCCTGACTGGTTGGTGATGGTTGGTCAAGTTTTGGAAACATGTCCATAAAATGGAGGCAATGATTGTGTCTGTTTCTTTTGGCTATTATAAAGTTTAATAATATAAGGAACTTAATACCTGGTACAGGGTAACTGTTTATTTTAACTGTTATTATTGTTGCTACTGTTATTTAGAATTCATGGATGTGGTATTCTGTATGTATATTGTGGATTTTTAAGAAGTACAAACAGGGTTCTAGAGGGGAGGGGGATGGGGGGATGGGTTAGCCTGGTGATGGGTATTAAGGAGGGCACGTATTGAATGGAGCACTGGGTGTTACACGCAAACAATGAATCATGGAACACTACATCAAAAACTAATGATGTAAAGGTGATTAATATAACATAATAAAAAAAATAACACCTAAAAAAAAAAGAACTATATATTGATATACTACTATAACATTGATAATAGTAATAGCCTGGTGAGGGGCGCCTGGGTGGCTCAGTCAGTTAAACATCTGACTCTTGATTTTGGCTCAGGTATGATCTCAAGTTTGTGAGATCGAGCCCCACATTGGGCTCCGTGCTCAGCACACACAGTCTGCTTAAGATTCTCTCCCTCTCCCTTTGCCCCTCCTACCTTCCCGCTGCTCACACACTCTCTCTCAAAATAATAATAATAATAGCCTGGTGAAATCATGTAGATCACAAGAGAAGCTAATTATAATCCTTACATATATTCCATAAACTATTCCTCAAGTGGTGCAAATTGGAGAAGCTAGTTTTCTCTATTATGTTTGATCACATTGAAATAATGTTAGAAAAAAAAAATCCAACTACTTTCCATAATGCTAGAGAATTCAACAATTTTTTTCATGGTACTGTACAATAGTAATTATTCTTGAATAATTTTTAAATCTTCAACAACATTCTGACCAATAAAAATGAAATTATGCTAATCTTATGTTTAGTCTTAATTGAATTTTATAAATGTTATTTTTTGAAATATGGTAATTTCAATATGCCATTCATGCAATTATGTCTTAACTTGATTAGTGAAATAGAATGGCCTATGTTCCACCATTCTAATTTTTAAAGAGTTACTGTACTTGAAATTGATCAAAGACACCAAAAAAAGCTATTTATTTTCCTCCTTAAAAAAACCAGGCTATTCAGCTGATTAAAAAAAAAATCTCTGTTAACTGATAAGGAGTGATTTCCAGGAGATATTGTTAAGTGAAAAAAAAAAAAAAAAAGCAAATTGCCAGAGTATATAAAATATGCTATTTTTCGTTTAAGGAGGAATTGGGAAATAAAAACACAGACACGTATATGCTTATTTTTGCAAAAAGAAACAGGAAGAATAAACCAGAAACCAGTAAAATTGGTTACCTACAATGGTAGAGGGATGGGATGGGGAACAACCCAGGATTGCTGTTCTAAGATCTCAGTGTATGAGCAGGATTTCCCTTCTCCTAGGAACAAAAGTAGCCTCCATTACAACGAGGGGCAGTGACATTTCCTCTTTGGTCCCTTTACCTCCTCTTATTTATTTCCTTTTTTTTCTTGCCTTTGACTTCCCTTCCTCTAATTTTTTTCCTCTCCTCTTCTTTCTCTTTTCCCTCTCTCCTCTTTTTATTTCTTGTTCTAGTAAACCTGAGGTAAATGTGGAAAATGTTCCAGTTAGGATGAAACAAAAAGAAAAGAACCTCGGTGCAGGCACTCTCCAATATACAAAAAGCTGTATTCAAAGAATGCTTTCAACCGATATATATAGTCTTGTGTTCTTCTCTGAGCCGTGTCCTGCGGTGGTTATAACAGTGAATGAGTCATGGTTGCGTCTCTTAAACAGCTTGCAAATTAATAGAGAAGACAGATCGCGTAGGAATAAGTGTCACATGAAATTATTTTTCCATATTGGCAACTAGATCAAGTTTTGTAAGTTTATAAGTGAGAAAAGTCTGTTTCTTTTAAAAACAAGTATCTTTTCCAAACATTAGAAATAATGATTTTGGGGGTGCCTGGGTGGCACAGTTGGTTAATTAACCGACTCTTGATTCCCGGCTCAGGTCATGATCTTAGGGTGGTGAGATCGAGCCCCGCCTCAGGCTCCACACTCAGTGTGCAGTCTGGTTTTGAGATTCTGTCCCTCTCCCTCTTCCCTTCCCCCTGCTCACACTCTCTGAATAAATAAATAAATAAGTAATTAAAAAAAATAATGATTTGTATCAATTGCCATAGTTTGAGCTATAATTATTCTGAATATGTGATTATTCCTTGTATTCTGAGAGACCCTTTTTATAGCTGAGGAGAACAAAATTTTACCAGTATCCTCAAGGGCATATAAAACATTGATAAGGAACACTGTTAAGACTTCACCTTATTTTGATTATTGTTTTTATCTATTATAAGGTTCTAACTGCTTGTAGATAATATCAGATAAAATGTTCTGATGTTAGCCCTTGAAATGTGGATTGTATTTGAGTAAATAGAACCGAAACTAATAAGTCAGAAATATCAACATTATTAAATATAATTTCATTCAATTGCTTTTGGGAGGAGAGAGAATATTTATTTATATTTATTTTTAGTGATGAGATAGTTAACTGTGTAATGATTGAACCACAGTGTAGACCTGCCCTGTGAGAAATATTAAAGGGGGTCCTTTGATCGAAGGGAGAGCCCATGCTGCATGTCTTTTGATAGAGTTGCTTCTGCTGTTACTTTTATGTGGTAGAAAGTAGTCATTGTGGAGATGGTTAATTAAGGCGAGAACACTGAGTACTGTTGGTGCATACTTGGTGGCTGTTGTTGCAGGTTTGTTGCTAAGGTCTAGGATAAACAAAGCCATATTCATTCTTCATCCTTTCATTTTTTCATTCATTCCTCCTTATTTTTTCCCCCCAGCTTAGCAAATCATATACTCTTCAGTGGAGCTGAGAACTGCTAAGTCTGCTCTTCACAGTGATTTGGAACTTTCCAATCCCAGGGAAAATTTGACCAAGGTCTAAAATTTATTTTTTCTTACCTATGGTAGGTCAACTATAAAATGAAAATTTTCTACTTATTTCCTTACAGATTTAAGAATCTTCCTTTATCCTGGGATGACTTTTCCAGACCTTTGCAGGAGGAGTCCCATAGGAGACCATATGATAGTTCCAGAACAGTTAAAACACCTTTTGGGTTTTATAGCTATTAACTCTCAGGCCCAAACCTTAATTCCCTTATCTTCCCTTCACCATATTTGGGCTTAGCTTATTTTCTCTGTTAATTGGAAGTAAAATCATTTTAACCTGCCTAGTTTCATTAGACATATGGGATCCTGATCTCACCACATACTTTTTCCTTAGGGGACTGCACAGGACTGAGTCCATATGGAAGAAGAGCTTTCCCTTTCCTATGGAGAAAGTGGCAAGGTTAGAAAAAAAATCATGCCTTTGGGGCATGTGTTTTCTGTTGCATGAAATATGTATCAAACATCTACTGGTCACCCAACAGGAGGATCAGTGAGATAGTATCTGTCTTTGAAGGGCTCACAATGTAGTGCCTCAGATGCAAACAGATAATTATTGTGGGTATATAGAATGCTAAAGGGGCCAGCAGAAAGCTGTGGTATTATCTGAGGGGTAGAGCAGGGTTCCAGAGATGGTGCTGTTGGAGCTGGATGAGGAGTACAGACCCATCCCTACTTTCACAGATAATACCGTCCTGCAGAAGGGTCTGAGTTGATCAATGTTTACTTCATTCCCAGAGATTTAACAAAATGATAAAATACCTAATCTTAGATGACATATTCTTAATTCATCATTGATATTCTTTAACTTATTCCTTTTCCATCACAGCTCAACATTACAGTCAACCAGCTTAAGTCCGATGTGTCCAACTGTGTTAAAAGTTTCACATCTTTCAGCATGCACATTGATTTCCATCTTGTGTTAATTTTATTAAATTGACACACTATCTGTTCTTCATTACTAAGAGCTTAATATTAACTGCCACTATTAATTTTCATTTTTCTGTTTCCTGCTGTTTTTAAATAAAGTATGGTCAAAACACAACAAAAGATGTAAATAATTATATGATCAAAGTACAATAAAAGATGTAAATAATTATACAAAGCCAGCATAATGTACAAAGATGCAAAACTTCTGAAACCAAACCATAGTATTACCATGTGAGCCCTTATAGGAAAATACAAAAGTAGCTTACAAAAGTAATACATAGAACTTGAGAATCTTCTAAAATGTTAATAGAAAAATTCCTTATTTGTCCCGGAAAGAACAAATTTAGTAAAATAAAAGAAATAGACTAACAGAATTAGTGATGAAATGACTATTAGATATAAAGCGTTACATTGCCAGAAAGTCCTGCAAAGGCAAGGTGTTGGTGGGTTTGTTTAAATAGTTTTTTTGTTAGTCATTGTTGTTAGCCCAACAGGTAATTTTGTTACCTGTTGTTAGCCCAACAGGTAATTTTGGTTTTATTTCTGCATGCTGTATTTTAAACTTAATTGTGACAACTTAGTTGTCTAGAGTTAAGTGAAGTATCATAATCTGTTCAATTCTTCCTTTGGCTGGAGAGACAGAGGTATATAGGTAGGACATACTCAAAGGAGTAATAAAATGCATCTTGGTCTCTAATTTTATGGAGCTGTGTTTCCTTAATTATATTTTCCTTGAGCTAATATTAAAATTTCACTACTTTGCATTTCGCAAACAGATGCCAGTGAAAGATGAGGGAGGGGGGCTGGATGGAAAGGAAAGGAAAGGAAAGCCGGCCAGGAATAGTTACCGCCTATATAGTAGGAGGACATGCAGGAAGGAGGGCTACCTGGGCCAAATTAGGACTGAATTCTAGGGACACGATCGTGATGACTTCTCGTGTATACTGTCAAGCTCTCACTCCCTGGTAGTGCTTTCCCCCCATGCAGATGTTTCTGTTGCCTGCCCTTGGCTCTTGCTCAGCCGGTCCCTTACGTAACAGTTGGGCACAAAGGTGGTTGGGCTCCTTCTGCAGAGTTGCTGTCATGCAGGGCGGATGCTTCACCTACAGGTGCTGTGTGTGAATTCTCTGCTACCTGCGCTCCTGTTATATATACAAAGTATACATATGCGTACAGTATATGTACATGTTTACAATATATATAATGTGTACAGCTATACACACTCATGAGTGCATTGCAGAGAAACATTTTTCTTCTGAGAACAAAGATGCTACAATTCCTTGAGACTGATATGAAATATTTACCTCAGAAAAGTGTAAATGTGTGCCTTTCATAAATTAAGTCATAAGTTCCTCCATGAGATAACTCTCCCACAAGACTTAGAAAAGAAGAATTTTTGGTGATTGACCTCCAGGAGCCAGCCTTCTGACAGACATTTAAGAGCAGCGTAGTCACACCTCCCTTGTACCCAAGGTTATATTGTAAGTATTTGTTTTTTATTAAATTGTGAGCTCCTTGAAGGGAGCGATTATGTTTCATTTTTATACCTTTAGTATCTTGCCCTCAATACATGTTCAATGATACTGTCACACCTGATGTTCTTTTGACTTGTGACATCCTTTAACAGATGTATGAATTCAGGTAACACTTCAACACACACACACACACGAATCCCAGGGGTCAGTAGAGTCCTGGGGTGGGTACTAGAGGTTTGGTACAGGTGAGCCAGGAAGAAAGTTCAGAACTAATGATTTGTAGACAGGTGTTTAGGAGCTTATTGGATTTACAACCTGATTCTAGGCATCTAAGAAACCACTTGATTTTTGTAGCAGGGCAGGTTGAAATCCAAAAATCTGCTTGAAAGGAAAAAATGAGATAGGAGTGCTTATTTTCTCTTTGTATATTGCTGTCTGCTCTGTTCGTGGAAGGTAACCCACAGTGTGTATTATTGCCCTGTTCGTCAAGGACTGGATGAGAACAGCAAAAGTCCCGCAATTGTGAATTAGATCTACCAGTGGCATAACTTTTTATGTGAACTTTTTTTCTCTGCAACATGTGATGTGTGGAAAGCAGGCTTCAGACGCAAGTGATCTTGGGGGATTACTTAGTCTTTCTGTGCCTCAGTTTCCTTGTATTTAAAATGAGGATAGCAATATCTATGCTCTACAATTGTGAAGATTAGAAATAATATGTAAGAATTCTTTTAACTAGCACATTAGCTCATCTATAAATATTTGATGCCACATCCCAAACGTTGTTCTTTTTGAAATTTATAGACTTAAATAGGAAAAAAAATTAAAATGCAGACCCCAGAGAAGATAAGATTCCTTCAGGATAGAAGGAGGTACGTAATTTACAGTAGAAGCTTAGACTAAAAGCTAACATAACGAGAGATTCTGCCCTTAGCTCTGTAGTGGCCTTGAGTGCTGCCCCAAAGGTAACAGAGGACTTCATTCTCCAGACAGGGTCCTAAAACTTGAGTGGCATGCTGAGGGACGGTGACTGGCTTTGGCATCAGGGGAGCTCATCCTGGTTCAGGCGCTGACATTAACTCAGGATGATGCTGTGAGCAGTTACAAGCTGCCTGCCCTCTGTGTTACTTTCTTAGGGCTGCCTTTAAAACGTACCACAAACTGCGTGGCTTAAAGCAATAGAAATTTATTCTTTTACAGTTCTGGAGACTAGAAGTCTGAAAGTAAGGTGTTAGCAGGGCCATGCTTTCTGAAGGATCTAGGGAAGAAGGCTTCCTTTCTTCTTCCCAACTTCTGGAGGCTCCTGTCAGTCCTTGGTGTTCGTGGCCCTGGAGGTGGATTGCTCTAGTCTCTGCCTCCATGACCACATGGGCTCCTTCGCATGGTGTGTTGCTTAATTTGATGTGTCAGCTTGAGTGGGCCACTGGTGCCAGATTACACACTGCTTCTGGGTGTGTCTGTGAGGGTGTTTCCAGACGAGAAGAGCTTTTGATTTGGGGAACTCAGTAAATGGTTTGCCCTCCCCAGTGTGGGTAGGCATCATCCAAGCTGTTAAGGAACTGAATAGAACAAAAGGTGGAGGAAGGAGGAATTCATCCCTTTTTTTCCTGTTTCACCGATTGATAGCGGTCATTTCACTTCATCTTTTCCTGCCCTCAGACTGAGATGTACATCACTGTCTCCCCTGGTTCTCAGGCCTTTAGACTCACTACATTATGCTACCAGCTCTCCTGGGTCTCCAGCTTGCAGATGCAGATCATGGGACTTCTGAGTCTCCATCATCTTGTGAGCCAAGTCATTATAGTGTGTGTGTGTGTACAGACGGAGTTACCTGACTCCCAAAGTGGGTGGCACAAATATGCTTTCAGGTCTGTAGAAAATAAGTAGCTAGTCCAATCAGCTTTCTACCAGAACTCTTTCTTGGTAAGGTTGACTTAATAGCTGATAGGAAAGATAGGCCTTAGAAAATCCTTTGCTCCTTTAAATTAAGCAGGAGTATGGTGATTAAGAGAAAGGGCCAGACATGCCATTTGAAAGACACATTGGCTGTTTATGCATCTTATTTTAATCCTCAAATTTTTGAAAGCTGGGAAGCATGTGTGAAAAATGTTTCCAGGATAGCAAATAAATAAAAGCTCTCTTTAAAACAGCTTTACAGTGTCCACATTGCTTGCTCTTATGAGAGCACAGGTGCTTATGGTCTTAATGTTCACTCTTATGGGTTTAAATGTGTTCCCCCAGCCCCAATTTATATGTTGAAATCCTAACCCCCAAAGTTTGGGTTATTAGAAGGGGGGGGACTTTGGGAAGTGATTAAGTCATGAGGCCATATTCTTATGGCCTCATGAATGGGATCAGTGCTTTATAAAAAGGTCTCCAGAGAGATCCCTAGCCCCTCCCTCCACCCCATGAGGACATGGTGAGAAGGCGATGGCTATGAAGCAGGAAGGGGGCCCTCATCAGAACACGAGCATATTGGTGCTTTGATCTTGGATTCCCAGTCTGCGGGACTGTGAGAAGTAAATTTTTGCTGTTTATAAGCCACCCAGTCTGGCATCTGTTAGAGCAGCCCAAATGCACTAAGATGCCCCAGTACCTCAGAAGGTGACCTTATTTGGAAATGGGGTCATTGCAGATGTGATTAGTTAAGATGAGGTTATTATGGTGAGTTCTAATCCAGTATGATTGGTGTCCTTATGAAAAGGGGCAATTTGGGCCCAGACGCAGACATGCATAGAGCGAGATGATGTGAAGACACAAGAAGACGGTACCTTGATTTTGAACTCCTAGCCTCCAGAACTGTGAGAAAATAAATTTCTTTGGTGTAAGCCACTCACCTTGTGGTACTTTGCTATGGCAGCCCTAGCAAACAAATATGTACTTTCTGGGAGTATATTCCTACCAATCCCCAAACCTGAGTGGGGGGCTGGTGGTGAGGGAAGCCACTAACTGCTCAACTGATGGTCAGAACAGACCCCAGAACCGGAACTCCGGTTCCTTGGTGTCACCTTTAGCATTGTTCTTTTCCAAGAACACGTTTCGTCAAGACTCAGGCGGCTGAGGAAATCGCAGTGCTTTCTCTCTCTCCATTTTTCCTGCCTTTCCAACGAGCCTAGTTTCCAGAGCTATGTTTAAGACATAGCCAGCACTGAAAGTACAGAGGTCAGCCTTAGACGATTCTTGTGGCCCTGAGGAAAATGAGCAGGTGAGATCTGATCCCAGCCGGGGTCTCTTGGTTGCTGTGAGAGCAGGACTGAAGCAGTGGGCTTGTCAAGACAGTTCCCGTAGCTGTGAGGGGCCTCTCAAAAATAGAGCCGGCCTTCCCTGAGCCGGTGCTGACTTTCACAGAAGGAAAAGGGGAAGGAAAAAAGAAGCATTTTTTAATTAATAGTCTTAATGTGTATATTTATATACACACACACACATATTTTTAAATTTTATTTATTTATTTATTTTTCCTTTTCAGCCAGTACAGGCTACTCTATCATCTTTGAAGATGTTAGATGTGGGAAAGTGGCCAATTTTCTCCCTTTGTTCTGAGGAAGAATTGCAGTTAATTCGTCAGGCCTGTGTCTTTGGCAGTGCTGGAAATGAAGTTTTGTATACTACAGTCAATGATGAGGTAAATTTTGAAGAAAAATTTCAGCCACTTACAGTAATGGATTTGCTAAGCTGAAGATCTTGGGGGGAACCAAGGAATTAAGATCTTAAGAAAAGCATGGAGGGTAGATTCTTATATGTTATATAATGTTACACAATGAAGCAATGATTATGGATTTGTCAGAAATAGAAGTGCTCGAACTAACAGTGGTCTTTCCCACAGATTTTTGTGCTTGGCACAAACTGCTCTGGTTGTTTGGGATTAGGTGACGTCCAGAGTACCATCGAACCTCGGAGACTGGATTCTTTAAGTGGCAAAAAAGTAGCCTGCCTCAGCTATGGGAGTGGCCCCCATATTGTCCTTGCAACAACAGGTAACTTAGGGACACAGGGTAGAATTTTAGCCACTGCCTTATTTATTGAGAAACAAGACTTAGGACCACCCCTTAAATCGAGAACATACTTTTTGATTGGGTAGGAGTTTCTGGCTCTGCCCTGTGAACTTGACTCTACTTTGGACAACAGGAAATATGAACCTATCTGGATATCAGAGTAAGATAATGGAGCGGATGGAATTTAGCAATTATTGGCACTTTTGATGTGAGAATGACAGGGCTGTAAGCCCCGTAAGCCCCTTTTGTTTATACTTTAAAAGTTGAACTATTTTGCATTAAAATGCTGAATTCACTCTGGACTTTCTGAACCTGAGATCCCTGATCTATGAAATAAGACACTAGTGCTAAAGTCCAAGATGCCCTCTAACTCCTAGCACTCGGATTCTGACCATCAACAGTGACTGATGGCTATATTTGGTATTAGTAGTATAAGGAATTAAATACTTTCATGGCTATTTCTTGAATTCACACTAATAGGATGTTATAATTAAATCATACCTTAGAGTTTTTCTTAAGCTGGGTATTCATTTTATTAGTATTCTTTAACTGAAAATAAAGTTTATAAATGAAAATACAAATTTTGGGGAATTTTGGTTGCCAGTAATAGGCTAGATTTTTTTGGACCACTTCTTCACTGGAAACAACTAACAATTCTAGATAAAATATTTAATTTTTTTTTTCATTGAGGCATCAAAGCACTGACAAGGCAGAGAGGAATTATTGGATCATATTTAAGAGAAAGTGTGAACTAAGGTTAAAGGGGAACTTGGAGCTAGTTTTGCCTTAAGGGCATCTCCCTCTCCAATTAAATGGAGTTGTGGTTTGATGTACTCATGAGGTAGAAGGGATCATGAGTCAGAGACCTAACATGTTATGCTAGGTCCACAAAGGGCTACAATCTAGGGGCAAGGATGGGCTAGCTCTCCCATCTCTAAAGCCCTGGAAAGAAAAATCCTTGGCTGTGAGCAAAGCAAGGAGGAACAAAGAAAGAAAACCTCTCCCCAAAGGGTTGTAATCATGGATTTGTATTACAGTTCACATCAGACTAGGCGGTCCAAGAAATCTCAAGCCTTGGATTTATTAAAGAAGTAACTTTAAGTGCCTTAATGGCATCACAGAAGTTAATGCAGGTACTTTCTAGAGGAAGGTACCTTCACTTCATCCCAGGACCGAGGAAATATGATGCCAGTGAAAAATGAGTGTTCAGTGACAATTAGTAGCACATAGTCAAAGATAACCAGGTACATGAGGAAACAAGGCACCATGAATAAGAACCAGCAAAAAAAAAAAAAAAAGACAGCAAAAACTGACTACTAAGTATCAGATATTAGAATTATCAGATACCAGTTACAAGATGACTATATTTACTGTGTTTGAAAAAGTACAAAATGAGCTTGAAGATACCTGCAGAGATCAAAGAAGATTTGAAAAAGAACCAAATAAACAATATAATTATCAAAATGAAAAACTCAGTGGGCAAGTTTTATAGCAGTTTAGACGCATCAAAAGAAAATTAATAAACTGGAAGATTAGAAGAAATTATCTGGAGTGTAACACAAAGAGATAATATAGTAGAGAATACAGACAAAAGGAGTATATACTATATGATTCCATTTATTTAAAGTTCGAGAACAGGAAAAACTGAATTCTCTTATTCAAGATTATATATGGGGAACTTTTGGAGTGAGCATCAGGTTGTATTTCTTGACCTGAGTGGTAGTACATGGGTATGTGCTTTATAATTATTTATAAAACTGCATATATATTTATGAACTTTTCTGAATATGTATTATACTACACAATAAATAATATAATAACAATTTTAAAAATAACTTGATGATCATTTTATAGATAAGAAAATAGGCCCAGAGAAGTTAAATGATCTTACAGTCTTTTGACTTTCCATCTGATGTTTCTTCCTATTACTCTTAGTAGCATTTTTCTGCTCTTTATTAAAAACCTATCATCCAGCCATTATAATTGCATCCATTTAAATTTCATCTTGTTGCTTTGAGATAGAATATAGTTTATATTTTCCAAATGTATTCTTTTGTAGAATGAGTTTGGTGCTTTTGCACGTGAACTTTTAGTTTTCATTCATGGAGGTGTGCAATATATATGTTCATATAATAAAGTAGCTGTTTTGAAAGCTGGGTGTATTTCTTTTTATTTTCAGAAGGAGAAGTCTTTACCTGGGGTCATAATGCTTATAGCCAGCTGGGCAATGGGACAACTAATCATGGTTTAGTGCCCTGTCATATTTCTACTAATCTGTCAAACAAACAAGTCACTGAAGTTGCCTGTGGGTCTTACCATTCTTTGGTGCTAACATCTGATGGAGAGGTGAGAATAATTAGCATAAATCTCATTGATTTTTTTTCAGTAAGATTATATAAATTCTTATAGCAGTCTTAGAAATATGATCATTTGATTAAAATAATCATCTTCCTCAAATTCAGTCTTATTCATGTTAGCAATTCATAGTCCTGGTGGTTATACCATGAAGTGTACCTTTATGTAGTAGGGATTTCTGTAACTGCAAGATTTAAAAGGCTGTAATGTTCCTTCTATATTGCTATGCTCAAGGGTTTTATTTACAAAAAGAAAAATCCCAAAATGCTGGAAAACATGGCTAAGGTAAAGTTGATATTTTAATAATATTATGTGATATCTGAACAGAATTATTGCTATTTGTGTAGATAATACTGATAACCTAATTTTATCGAGTAATGCATTTTGTAGGAATGAATTTTATAAAAACTTCTCTGCCTGTGGTGTGAGAATTTATGCATATCCAGCACTTTGAGAGCGAAGATGAGACACTCTAAGTCCATGTTAGTGTCCATTTGAGACACTTTATAAGTTAGCGTGTTTCATTTTTTAATTCCCAGGTATTTGCCTGGGGTTATAACAACTCCGGGCAGGTAGGATCTGGATCAACAGCCAATCAGCCGATCCCTCGAAGAGTCACGGGCTGCTTACAGAATAAAGTAGTTGTGAACATAGCATGTGGGCAGATGTGTTCGATGGCAGTGGTGAACACTGGGGAGGTAAGAAAGTTGTTTCGTAAGTCGTTTAAGAAACCCGTTTGCCTTACCAGTGTGATACTGACATGTCATGTTTCTCAACAGAGAGCTCGCTTGCTTCTGTGTTTCATGGGCACTGAGTCTCTGGTTTTCCTTCAGGTCTATGTCTGGGGTTACAACGGAAATGGGCAGCTTGGACTCGGCAGTAGCGGCAACCAGCCAACTCCCTGTAGAATAGCAGCTCTGCAAGGCATTCGTGTCCAGCGGGTATGTCCACAATCGTTTGTATGGCAAAGATACCAACGGACGCAGCTTTCTTGGCAGATGAAAAGTTTAGCTGCTTGTTGTTTTCTTCACTGAAGTAAAGGCTAAAGCTCTATTTCCCTGAATTAAGTTGTAGATGTTCATCAGGAAATTTATGTTTCTAGGCCACTCTCATACATAGCTGTTGGAATGTAAATTGTTGCGATCTTTTCCAGGGAAACTTTGGCAGTATATATCAAGAGCCTTGAAAATATTTATACCCTTTGTTCTGTAATTTTATTCCTAGGGTATTATCCTAAGGAACCAAAAAGGAAGACACTTACAGAACTATTGGAGAAGATATAACAAAAGAAGAAAGAGAGAAAGAAAAAAAAATGCTAACTTCAATAAATAAATAATAGATGTAGCATAATTTATCTAATCAAATAAGTTAATGGTTAAATAAATTATACTAAATCTGTATGAATGGAAATGATGTTTACAAAAGGTTTTTAATGATATGGAAATAGTGCTATGTGATGTCAAGTAAAAATAAAGATACAGACGTGGTGCATGGAGACATGATACATATCCCTATATCTATATAGAAGTAGAAAAATAATCCTGATCTTGAGATTACTTTCATATTTATACTTTTCTACATTTTTTCAACATTGAACATGTTTTACTTTTACAATAAAAAAGAAAAAAAATTCTTAAAAAGTAAAAGTGTGTTCCATATTCACTCCACACCCTTGATCTCTGTGAGCATGATGAATGCCATATTAAAGCTGAACAAACCAGACTCATGTCACCATGACTCATGTTGAAATTACTGCAGTTTTGGCCCCACATAGGCTAAGCTAGTTCTGGGCAAGTACTGGTTACCTTAATGTTTTGCCTCTCTGAGCAGGCTGCCTCTTCTTTTTTTTTTTTTGCATCTTTGATTCTTAACCTATCTTGTGAAAGCGTATTTGCAGGCCTAAGTGGATTTGGTTTTTCTCTTTCCAGGTTGCCTGTGGCTACGCACACACATTAGTGTTAACAGATGAAGGCCAAGTGTATGCTTGGGGTGCAAATTCTTATGGCCAGTTGGGCATTGGCAATAAAAGTAACCAGTCCTATCCTGCGCCTATCTTCATGGAAAAGGACAGGTAATATGTGCATTTTCAAAATAACTTGCATGTCCTTTAGTGATAAAACAGAACGTAGACATGATATAGAATTGTGGGGAACTTGCTGCTAATATTAGAATATTCTTTCATGAGAACATTCATTCCTTTTTAAAATTGCCTTTTGGAGGCACCTGAGTGGCTCGGTTGAGCAGCCGACTCTTATTTTCAACTTGGGTCATGATCTCAGGGTCCTGGGATCAAGCCCGTCATCGGGCTCCGTGCTCAGTGGGGAGTCTGCTTGAGGATTCTCTCTCCCTCTGCCCCTCCCCACACTCATGCTCGCTCTCTCTCTAAAATAAATAAATAAGTCTTTTAAAAATAAATAAATAAAATAAAATTGGCTTTTGAACTGTTGGGGAGTTTGTATGTTAAATATTCTACTTTCACTTACTCATATTTCAGCTACTCTACACTAACCACAAGGACTAAACCTCCAACAACTATCCTACTTTATTCTTCTCCCTCACAAATTACCTTTTCCTCCTCCTTATTGTTTTCGGTTTTATATTCTTAAGAGGAAGTTGAATAACACCTTAAGAGGTCAATCTTCTGTGGCTTAGGAAAATGAAAGTATCTCAAATAGGGTAGGGTATAAAGCTATTCACTCAGCTACTTATAAAATGTGCCAGTTGAAAGGATAGGACTGTCTCATTATTTTAGCTCCTAAGCTATCACTATGGGGACATGTAAAATGGTTAGAAAATTAAGACTTAGTTTTGCCCACTTCTTTGCAAGGTTGTGTTAAGTAATTTGCTAATTAAAAAAATCCAGAATTTTTCCCCAAATTATCCTACTATTTCTGAAAGCCTTTTGAGTGTCTCAAACATGGCTATATCACTGCTTTTTCATTCTACATTTTTAAAATTATTTCATTAGTCTTTCTGTTAAACCAGGGTTGTAATCATTGTAGAAATTACTATATTTCCTTTTTTATTGTGCATATTAATTTTTGTTAAATCTGATTTTAAAGTAAATATATGGACACATAGATTATCTTGCATTTTTATACAATTCTTTTATATTTTCCTGTTGGAATATTTAACAATGAAAGTGAAGAACAAGATTGTCAGTTTCAACCCACTTGTTTTCATTTGAGTGTTATAAGCTTGGCTAATTTTACTTAACCTGTGTCAAATAGGTTAAAAAAAAGACCTGTTTTTGGTTTCTTTCCCCAAAATCTTAGGATAAGACCCTGGACCTCTTAAGGCCTGGGAAGGAGGAGAGGGACTGGAGGCCGGAACCTGTGGGTGTGGATACATGCACACAGCCATGCTATTTGCATTTCCCTTCAAGGTAGCTCAGAGCTACTCAGTGGAAAGAGAAGGGACAGTCTTGAGGCTTTGAACAATCACAAAACTGCCTCAGTTTAGCAAATCCAGTCAGTAGGGATGTTTAGTATTTAGACACACAACAAAGAAGTGTTAAAGAATCAAGTAAAGGTGTCATGGAAATAAGAACAACATATTTGTATGGCACTTTACCATTTTTCTGGTGCTGTCACACTTCACATACATTTTAACTCATCTGCAACTGGACTTGCCAAATCCACTGCTATCTGCCCACCGGCAACTTGCCCCACGTTGCACTGCCGGTCCCCGATCACCCCAGAATGAGCGCCACGTCTTCTGACTCTAGTCACGCTGGGCCAGATGGATTATAGGGCAGCGTGGTGGGGGAGGCAGGAGAGGCAGAAAAGCAGGGCATGGGAGTTATGGAGTGTCAGCTCCTTACCTGGTACTTGAGAGTACTGCTTTTTTGTCTATTTTAAAAACTCAATTTAAAAAAAAAATTTTTTTGACTTTTTTCAAATTTTGAATTATAAATGTAAAAAAAAAAACGTGGAAATAGCTACACACTTGCATGCTCACTGTAGTCCACATAATCATTATTTGGGCTCTAAATATCATGGATGAATGTTTTGAAGGAGATATTCCTGCTTTTCTCTTTTCCATGCCTGAATTCGCTGTGGTCATCCCTGAGTTTGCAGGCTCTCCACCACACGAATATTGCAAGGGAGGAATTTGTAAGTCTGCTGGGACTTGTTTTGCACGTACCCACCCTTTTCAGTGACTGAAATTTGCAGATATGTTATGACTTATCTCTCAAGAACTCACTTCTGACTCTTTGGGACCCATTTCATGGAAGTCTGACTAATTAGAAACAAAAGGATTGAATTTAGGGTGGGGTGGATCTCCAGGTCCTGGTTACCTATTCACAGAAGTGGGAAGTGAAAATCTGTCTACATTGGATCCTTTGCTCAAATGACAGCCCAAGGAAAACCTTTTAAAATTTTTCCCACAGAGTTCTACTTCTGATGAAGAATGCTAATAACATTTGTTAGCAATTTATGTTCACATAAAAGTAATTTTAATGACTAAAGTGATTCTCTTCTCTCTAATCCAGTCATTCCCAATCTTTCTGAAGTCTCAGTACTTTGATTTACCAGCATTTGTCTTTGTTCCTGAAGTTTCATAAAAGCATATTTGAAGTTAAACTGATTTAAAGCTAACTTTGCCTTGTGTTTCTGTGAATTTTGTGACACCTTGTGATAATTGGTAATATGTTGGCCTCTTACAAAGCCAGGCTTGGGAGTCACTGCTCTGGACCCTTATTACCATTCTTTGTTCTCCTCCCTTCTCGCTCACAAGTCACCTTTTGTCTCTCCTCATTGTTTTCTGTTTTACATGCTTCCTCACTCTCTGCATTTTCATTTCTAGTACCACACCCATTAAGCTGCGTTCGTTGGGGATCATTCTGGGGAGGTGACACAAAACTCATTTATTAGGAACATGTAGTACCTTCTTGTCATTGCACGGGGCTGCAAACTAAAATGTGAAATATGCCAGACATCCTGCCAGTGAAGGTTAGCTCAGTTCACAGTCACCATCTGTTGCATATTAGACTGGAAAATCTGAGCTTCGGAGTTTGCTTCTTGGTGTGAATCAGATTTAAGAACAGATGACCTTGGGCCACAGCAGGAAGCCTTGGCAGTTGGTTGGGTCCCACGCTTAGACCTGAAGGCTCCCTCTAAACTGTCTCCACTCTTGTTCCTGTAGCAGCTGCTGCCGTCAGCCAAGCCCGTGCCCCACCCCTGACTTCCCGTGTGCTGCTAGGTGCTCCAGGTAAACGTCACGAGGCCGTGTGTAGGGAAGGCCAGCGCTCCACAGCCTTCCGCATCCCAACCCCTTTGCCGGGTCTGTTCCACCCTTTCTCCACGAAGCCGTGTTCCTGCCTCTTATAAGGGCAAAGGCTGCTCCCGTTCCATGGAGGCTCATAAAGATATTCCAGAAGCGAATGTAGGAATTAAATTATTCTGGTTTTCTGATGTTGGGTAGAAGGACACTGCTGTGTTTCCATCAGTTACATTTTTCATAGAACATTACCAGGGAAAAGAGATTTTAAGTGGTCTCCCAGAGTTCCTGCAGCCACTGGTAAACACTTGAGTCACCAGAAGAAACTGGTTTTGGATGTGCCCTGTGCTGGGTAGCTGATTTCATTTACTCTTCACCACAAGGCTGTGAAATGACTGCTACCTTGTCTTCTGCTCTCCTCACTTTTTTTTTTTTTAAGATGATAAAATGATGATAAGAGTCTAAGTAACTTGGCCTCCACAGGCTGCTGGCTGACCCCCTGCCCATTGCATCAAGCCACGTAAAATGAAGTATGTTGCTGCCCTCACGTTTGGTGTAACGTGTGAGGGTAGATGGTAATAGTAGATGCCCTTTCTTTGAATAAACATATTTACTCTATTTCCTTCCCCTTTTTTCTTTATTTGTTGAAAAGAGAAGCCGAATAGGATTGGCCATTTTCCCTGTGTGGGCAAGGAAGTTTCTTTTGTAAAGCCCATAGTGGAAGTTTGGGCCCATTCACTGACTTACCCATGCAGGTAGGAAAGGTGTCACTACCTGAACTGATCATTGGGAATGTGCAGTCTCTATATGAGGGAGGCTTTGCCACTGAAAACACTTAGCAGTAATTCTGTTAAGAAGCCTCTACTGGTAGCTGCTATTTGTACACCAGACACTGTGCTGGGTGTTTGACATTTTATCATTTAGTTCTCACGTACTAGCCTTGCAGTGTGATGAAACTGAGGCTCCTAGAGGCTCGGGAACATTCCCACAGTCACATGGCCTAGTGGTAGAGCTAGGATGAGCCCTTAGTTCTGTTTGACTCCGGCGTCCAGGCTCTTCACCGTGGCACATCGTACATAGCCTTGTTTCTAGTACTCCTGTTTTCAAGAGCTGAGAGCTGCCCTTGAATAAATCAGTGAAATTGCTTGGGCCACACATGAAAACAATACATTTGGAGGCAAGCCATCTCCAGCTTGTATGATGACCATCTTCCCTCCTTGGCTGGGAAACATCCAATTAAAACAGGTGGTAGAGGGATGTCTCCATCCTTCAGTTGCTAGCCTGTCAGTGAGGTCTTCCACCCCTCAGTTGCTCTGCGTTGTTGAGTCTTTCCCAGTTAGTCAATAAAATGACCTATAAATTGCTTAGGAAGACACCATATTAAGGAGAGAAACACACTTAGAGAGAAATAAGCCAGTGATTCAGCCTGCCAACAACTTATAATCTAGCTGAAGAGGTAAGACATACGTCCCAGAGAGGATAAGGGCCAGGCTGGAGTGGTGTAGACAGGATGTACTTCAAGAGCTCAGGTGAACGAGAGACCTCTTAGTCTGGGGCTATTTGAGCTGGGCCTTGAAAGATGGGCAGGATTTCTAAGGCAGAGAGAAAGGAAAGAACATTCTTAAACAAGGGACTTTAACTGTGAGTAAGAATATTGAGGGGCAGTGAGTACATCTGTGTGTTGGAACATAGGGTATGTAGGCAAATGTGATTTGAAAGAGGGCTAGATTATGGAAGGTCTTAATGCCACATGTCTGGATTTTATCTTGTGGGAAGCCACTGAGGGTTTGAAAGTACTGATGAGAATGGTGTTTTCGGAGGATTGTTAACCTGCCAGCCTTGTGCAGCTTGGTTCAGAAAAGAGAGAGTCTAAGGCAGGGAGACAAGGGAGGCCGTTACTTTGGTCCAGATACGGGGTGTGCCTTACCTAGGGTGGTGGCAGATGGGAGAAATTACAAAGAGAGAATCTATATGATTTGTCAACTGGATATTCTGAAAAAAAGTGGTTAAGTGAGAAGGGAGAAGAAGTCAAAGATGACCGTGAAGTTCTGAGCCTAAGTCACTAAGGATGGTGGTAGTATGGTCTGCTGTGACAAAATCAGGATGGCGACCTCACTTAGGGTAAACTAGTTCGCTATGTTTCCTGAATCTGTACAGTGGTTTATACTTAGAGAAAATTAATTAGTTCCAAATCAACAAAAACAGAGTTTTCCATTAGAGAAGTATACAGACAACTACCCCGTGGCCATCATGAACTTACCGGGCTAGGGTCTAGCATATGTCCGTTTCTGAAATCTGCTCTCTTGGGCTCTTGAAGATAGAGTCCAGTGACTCAGGACTATTGACCTTACTGTTTGTAGTGCGAGTTGGGGTGGCCCACAGCATGTTCCATCTAACACTAAAATTGGTGAAATTTTGATGAAAATATTTCTCGATATTGGGTCAAGACCTGCATTAAGTAGCAAGTCTTTTTTACGTACTTCATTAAGTCCTGTTTTAAGAAAAAAAAAAATTAGATCACTGTTTGGTTAATTTGTTCGTTTTGGTCTCTCCCCTTGGATTGTACTTGATTTCACAATGGGACGGTACTTATTTTTGGAGGCCTACTGGCTAGAAGTGGTAATAACAAGCAGATCTTCATGACTTGCGCCGTTGAAGGATAGCTAAAACGTAAAGAACTGATTGGTGCCTGAAAATTTAGGAGATTAAGTCTTCTGTTGTTTTTTTTAAATCAGTTAAGGCGAAGGGAAGGAGAAATCAACTTGTTTCTTCTCCCGTTTGCCACGTTCACTTGGTCTTTCTTTGTGAACTTAGAATTATAGAGATCGCGGCCTGCCACTCGGCGCACACGTCGGCGGCCAAGACCCAGGGCGGGCACGTGTACATGTGGGGCCAGTGCCGGGGCCAGTCGGTGATCCTGCCCCACCTCACCCACTTCTCCGGCACCGACGACGTGTTCGCCTGCTTTGCCACGCCGGCCGTCTCGTGGCGCCTCCTGTCCGTGGGTGAGCAGTCTTCGTCCCTTTGGGTGCGGGCCTGACGTGAGGAAGGCAGCGCTGGTGCTTTCTGTTGTGATAGTAAGGACTTTTTTAGGTGCAGTATCATACAATTGATTTCTGTCTAATGGGCTCCTGTGAAAGGAAGCTAACTTGATGGATTAATTTTTCCTGAAAGAATCAGAAAGCAACATCACGTACTACATTAAAAGCAATTTTATTTGACTGCTTTTAATTTTCCTGGGAAACTATATCTTTCATTTTTAGCCAGTCTGTTTACTGAAACATGCAAAAATTTCATTGAGTGGAGCCCTTTGGGGCTTTTTAGTTGTTGGTTTGCCAGATTTGCAAGCAGATGTGTGTGAGGCTCTTATCCTTGACGATAGAGATGTGAAAATCCGTATTTAGGGGAAAAAAGCATTGCTCCGTTGGTCATGTATTTTGGGTATTTTCATGAGAGTCCACAGAGCAGTGCTATATTCTGGCCTGCGTTTTCTCTGTGTCTGTAGTTAACCCTAGAAACGTTTGGTGTTCCTCTCTCAGAACCCGACGACCACCTTACAGTGGCCGAGTCGCTCAAGAGGGAATTTGACAACCCCAACACGGCCGACTTGAAGTTCCTGGTGGATGGAAAGTACATTTATGCACATAAAGTCCTTCTCAAAATTAGGTAAGGAATCATTGATTTTGAGAATCAAAATAAATACATTCACATGTTCTAGGTGTTCACAGAACTATACTAAGTAAGGCTGATTTTGCCCTACGAGCATACCGTGCAGCCAGGGAGACACGGTATGCGTGACATGAGAAATGAGAACTAACCGGCCGGTGTAGTGAGAGCCCGGAGGGGCGCAGGGGGAGGGGGCATCAGGAAGTGAGGACTCTCAGCTTCCGTAGAGACCTTGCAGGTGGTCTGTGCACCTTGGTGTTGGGCAGCCAGCTGAAGCTCGGCGAGCATGTTCTGGGCTTTGAGCACCACGTGGGCCGCTTCCACAGAAGGGGCCTTCCCCGCCTAGGAACTGAGCTTTGTCACCCCCCTCATCAGTTGGGATAGTGAACTTTGAGATGCTCGGAAAACAGAAGGTGAGGCTTTTGCAGGACAACAAAGTCTGGGGTAAAGTTAACACAGATGACAAAAATCAGATTTATTGATGTATTAATTTCTTTTTTTTTTTTTTTTAAAGATTTTATTTATTTATTTAACAGAGAGATAGCGAGAGCAGGAACACAAGCAGGGCGAGTGGGAGAGGGAGAAGCAGGCTTCCTGCCAAGCAGGGAGCCCGATGTGGGACTCGATCCCAGGATCCTGGGATCATGACCTGAGCCGAAGGCAGACGCTTAAAGACTGAGCCACCCATCATCACCCAGCCCCTGATGTATTAATTTCTGAGCCAATGAGCTGCATCCATTTGAAGGGTGCAGTTTGAGGAGCTTTGACATATATATTTATGCCTGTGAAACCACTGCCTTAAATCAAGATACAGAACGTTTCTGTCATCCCTCAAAGGTCCCTCATGCCACAGGCCTGCACCCGGGGAGCGGGAGGGGGGGCGCCCCACTATGGCGGGTCCGCGCCTGCAGCCTCGTCCTGTAAGTGCTGGTGAGTGAGCTCTCCGGCCGGCAAAGGAAGCGAGGGGCCAGGACAGGGACACGAAGGTGTGCAACTGGAAGCGAATGCTGCGCGGTGCTTCTCGTTGTCCGTCCCCTCTGTGAGCCCCACGAGGACGTGTGTTGGTGGGGGATCTGCTCTCGCCGGGAGCAAGGGCCCCACGGGCTTCTCTCTTCCTTCAGGTGTGAGCATTTTCGTTCTTCTCTGGGAGACAACGAGGATGATATCGTAGAAATGAGTGAATTCTCGTATCCTGTTTACCGGGCCTTCCTGGAATACCTGTACACGGACAGCATCAGCCTTTCCCCTGAGGAGGCAGTAGGTAATGGCCCCGGAGCTTTCCCCCGCGGCAGCGTGCGCGGGAGCCGGCCGCGGCCGGAGTTCTCTTGCTGGGCGTCAGACCCAGCCCTTTTCCCTTGTTACTGCTTCGTACGCGGGGTGGCTGGGTAGCTGTCACCCGGCCAGCGCTGTGGAGGGGCTGCCATTGCCCCGGAACTAGTGTACGTCAGTAACGCCCGTGACTGTCCGGGACCTGCTGCCTTCGGGTGTTTGCAGCGGAGACAAGATAAAATGCACGCGGGAATAGTAAGCCCTGCTGGTCTCCAGAGCCAGGAGTTTCCCTCCACACGGCTCTGGGGCCGAACGCTGTGGGCGTTCTGGGGCCCCCTGTCCTGAAGCTGGTGTGGGGCATAAAAAGCAATACAGGTTATCAAACAGGCGCAGAGTGAAAACCGTCCTACGTCTCAGGTGACCGCCGTCAGCAGCATTGTTGGCCAGAGGCACAGAGAATGAAAGAATTACTTCTGTAAGGACTTAAAGAGTTCAGCCCTCAAATTTTTAAATGAAAGACTCCTTTCACGTGTATACATCCAGTATCACTTTGTACCTGAGATCAGCATTTAATTTTCCTCAGGTAAACAGAAATGTGACTTCTGAAGTTTTATAGTTTGCCGTCCCTTCTTCCACAAATGTTTTAGTGCCCAGGCCCCGTGCGTGCCACAGCTCTGGCCTTACCCTGGGGAGCTGGTATTCGCATGAGCACCAGTCCTAAACGAGTCAATCCAGGCGGTCAGTGAGGAGGGCTGGGAGGGCCTCCGGGAGGAAGTGTGTGGAGCAGAGAGCTGGGGCAAGCAAGAGCGAGCGAGCAGTACCCAAGGGAAGAGCCTTCCAAACACGGGAAGCGGTGAGTGCAGAGGTCTGAGACAGGAACGGATTCGGCATGTGGAGGAGGAGGGAGGGAGGCGGGGGCGGGAGGGAAGTCACACTCACTGTGGTAAGTATTAGGTCAGGCAGCAGGATGTGGGCAAGAACACGCCTGCCCTTGGAGGCCATGGTGAAGTGCTTGTTTTTTTCTTGGTGTGATGGAAAGCCTTGGAAGGTTTTGAGCATGAGGCTTCTGTTATTTAGGATTTGCTTTAACAGCAACATTTAAAAAAATTTTGGTTTAAACAGGATAGTTTCTCATTCACACAGGGAGACAGTGCAGGGCATCCCTACGTGTGGCTCCTGCCCTCATGGTCCAAGACTGTGTTTGCATTACCTGCGGCAGGCTGGAGGAAGGGACCACAAGGAAGGGGCAAATCCCAGTGTCTCTTAAGGCAGGGTCCTGGAAGTTCCACTTATTCCAAACCATGGACCAGAGATGGCCAAGGACAGAACCCCAGCCGCATGAGAGGTTGGGGAAAGTGGTCCTGGAAAAAAAGGGAGAATGGATCTGTGTGGATATGGGGGGTGGGGGAAGCGAGGCAACTTCTACAGTAGGAGTGATGTGATGTGTTTTATTTTTTTATTTCAGTTTTTTAATTTAAATTCTAGTTAGTTAACATATATGGTAAGATTGGTTTCAGGTGTAGAATTTAGTGATTCATCACTTACGTGTAACACCCAGTGCTCATCACAGCAAATGTCCTCCTTAATGCCCATCACCCATTTAGCCCATTCCCGGCCCACCTCCCCTCCAGTAACCTTCAGTTTGTTCTCTAGAGTTAGGAGTCTTTTTTGGGATGCCTGGGTGGCTCAGTCAGTTAAGCATCTGCCTTCGGCTCAGGTCATGATCCCCGCATCAGGCTCCCTGCTTAGCGGGGAGCCTGCTTCTCCCTCTCCCACTCCCCCTACTTGTGCTCTGTCTCTCTATCTCTCAAATAAATAAATTAAATCTTAGAGAGCATGGGGAGGGGCAGAGGGAGAGAGAGAATCCTCAAGGAGACTCCCCACTGAGCACATGCCTGACACAGGGCTCAATCCCAGGACCCTGAGATCATGACCTAAGTGAAAATCAAGAGTCGGCCACTTAACCAACTGAGCCACCTAGTTGCCTATAGTTAAGAGTCTCTTATGGTTTGCTTCCCTCTTCTTTTTTCCCCTTCCCCTGTTTGTTTTGTTTCTTAAATTTCACATATGAGTGAAATCATACAGTATTTGTCTTTTTCTGACTGACTTATTTCACTTAGCATGGTATGCTCTAGCTCTATCCACGTCATTGCAAATGGCTAGATTTCATTCTTTTTGATGGCTGAGCAATATTCTATCTTCTTTATCCATTCATCAGTTGATGGACATTTGGGCTCACTCCATAGTTTGGCTATTGTTGATAGTGCTGCTGTGAACATTGGGGTGCATGTACCCCTTTGAATCTGTATTTTTGTGTCCTTTGGGGTAAATACCTTGTAGTGCAATGGCTGGGTTATAGGGTAGCTCTATTTTTAACTTTTTGAGGAATCTCTCTATTGTTTCCACAGTGGCTGCACCAGTTTGCATTCCCACCAGCAGTGCAAGAATGTTCCCCTTTCTCTGCATCCTCGCCAACATCTGTTGTTACCTCTGTTAATTTTAGCCATTCTGACAAGTGTCAGGTGGTATCTCATTATGGTTTTGATTTGCATTTCCCTGATGCTGAGTGATGTTGAGCTTCTATTCATGTTAAAAGACCAGTAATTATGATGGTTCAGGTGCAAGGTGGCTATACCCTGGGTTAAGGTTGGCGTAGCAATGGAGGTGTTGAGAAGAGATCACATTCTGGATATATTTTAAAGATGAAGCTGATGGGATTTGCTCACGGATGGCACGTGGGGTGTGAGGAAAAGAGAGAAGGATCACTGCTCTAAGGTATTCGGCCTGAGTAGCTGGGTTAATGGAAATATCATTCACTTAAGATGAGGAAGATGGAAAGCAACAGGTTTTGCCCTTGAGTTTGAAAAGTCAAAGGAGTTTGAGTTGCTTCTTAGACATCTGCATGGCAGTTCTTTTTATAGGCCCACTCCCAACATTTGCAGGGCCCTGGGTGGGAGTCCAGATAAAGGCCCCTGTACATTTGTATAAAAGTTCAAAGTTATATGTGTCAGTTGAAATATGTTCAATCCTCATACTTTGAAAAATATACCTTTATTGAGAACTGAAAGGCCAGGCTGGAGTTTTAGTTGGAATTGAGGATTTTAGGACTCCTTAGAGTTCCTCGCGGGAATGCACAGGAAGCACAGACCTCAGGCCTCCAGCTTGCGGCCGGCCATCTTTCTTTACCCACCACCAGCTACACCCTGCATTGCAAGGGGTGTGTGGGCCTCCCAGCCGGCGCATACAAGCTCCATCCACCCCCTTCCTGCTGGGGCTGGGCATCTGTGCACTGGTGGTGTGGTCTGGAGGGGAGGGAATATCCACATATGTGGCCTCAGGGCCAATTAGATAGGGAATTCCAGAGTCCCCTGTGATCCCAGTGTGGTCTAGGAGTAGGTGCGTGGCTCCCTGGCCACTGTGGGGAGGGTTGTGCCTGGAGGAGGTGCAGATTCGGGCTGTTTTGAGCTGGGGCTCAGGACAGGGTCTTTTCTGAGGGCAGCATTTCTGTGATTCTGAAGCTCAGGAGGGTGTGGGGCTATAGATAGGAATTTGGGAGTTTTGGAGAACTGACCAAAAACAATTGAGCCATCATAGCTCTCAAGATTTCAAAAGATTTCAATTCCTCCATGGGGCAATAGGCCCTTCTTCTATAATTTTGATAGTATTGGTCATGTTACAATGAAAACAAGCTTCCAGCCCAGGCCTCCCACATGCACACAACTTAGTAGCAGAGAGATGGAGAAACAGTTGATGTTGTCAGATTGATGAAATCCTGGCTCTTCGTGCTTTAGGCCTCTGTGAAGCACCTTGCACGAAAGGTTAGCCTGCAGTAGATGTGACCCTTTTCTAGTAGAGGATACAGCTAAGCTTTTGATCAGGCGGCAAGCCAGGCCTGAGTGTAGACCTAGCAAGTGTGGCTCTCCGAGAGCGGGCACTGCCGGTCTCCTGCTGCTTCGTCCCATTCACGCGGGGGCAGGAGGAGCCTCCAGTATTTCTGGCCAGGCCTCCTAGCCAAACACCACGCCTTTCATAATGACAAAGTATTTCTGGCGTTCTTTATGCTGATTAACAAATGCTCTCATGGAGATTTAGAGAGCCATATCCCTGGCTTACATAGGTTTCTCTCTCTGCGGTGACTGATGTGAAAATAGGCAACAGAGAATACAGCAGGAATCATCAGTATGTATTAGATGGCATTTTAAGCTGGGGGGCAGGGGGTTGGTGCTGGAGGTCACTGAGGATTGAACCCTGGGGCGCTCAAACATTGGGAAGTTAGGAAGAATGGCCCAGCCAAGAGACTGAAGAGAATTAGGGAGAAGAAAAACAGCAGCAAGTAACACAGTGTTTCAAGAAGACGAGTGTCACCAGCCACATGGAACTGGGTGTAAATGTTGAGTGAGACGGAACTGGAGAACAACCCCTTGGGTCTGGCTCCATGGAAGCATTGATGGCATCGGGGCGTCGAGGGGATGGGATTCTGCTGGAATGGCTTCGGGGGAGAATGGGAAATGAGAACATGGAGGCAGCAGACAGGATGTTTCCCAGGTTTGCAGAGAAATGGGGGAGACGGATGGGAGGCACATGTATCCGTGAAAGGTTTCTCTTTTTTCTTCCGTAAAATTATGGGCACTGTTTAAGCATGTGCATGTGCTGAGGGAAATGACCCAGGAGGACAGGTCATAATGCAGGGGGAGGGACAATCCCAGCAGCCTGTCTAGGAAAAATATTCAGGCCATTTTCACTGTGCGCCTGCTTTTCCGCGGCTGCTCGTTTGCGGGTTGTGTTTGCTCGGTTCGGCCGCATTCCCAGGTGGAGCCACGCTCAGGATGGAAGTCAGCGTGAGTCTGAACATACACGGCTCTTCCCCAAGGCTTATGTTCAAGTATGCTCTCTGAAGGGCGGAGCGAGTTGAAGCAGGATGCTTGAAATCACTCCCCCTAATAAACATCTCTTCCCACCAGGGTTGCTAGATTTGGCTACATTTTATAGAGAAAATCGTTTGAAAAAGCTCTGCCAGCAAACTATCAAGCAAGGAATCTGTGAGGAGAATGCCATCGCTCTGCTTTCGGCTGCCGTGAAGTACGATGCTCAGGTCAGCAAAGCATGCTTTCGACTAGCTGACCTTCTGGGAAAATGTTAGGTGTTTACCTCATACATTAAACTCGAATCAACTCTAAGAGATTAAAGATTTAATGTAAACAAGTGAAGTAACCAGAAGTACCAGAAAAAGTGAACATTTATATATTGTTAGGGTAGCTCTCCCAGGCAGAAGCCATAGGAAAGGATTGATAGATCTAATTTCAGAAAGAAAAAAAAAGTCTATACACCAAAAATGCCACCGAGAAAATTAGAAAGTAAATGATACACTGGGGAAAATATCTGCAACATATCATGAAGCACGTTTACCATAGTTAATGCAGAGTTCTTGGAAAACAGAAAGAAAACATGACAGTTTGATGGAAATAAATGGACCAAGAACAAAATGGGCTTATGAATAAATGGAAAATATAAGTGAAAACAAGGTATAATTGTTCACCTGTGACACGGGGAAACATAATCTTAAGAGATAATGCAGGCTCAGCATGATGGATGTTCTCCTGAACAGCCGCTGAGGGTGTGAACTGGGGCAGTCGTGTCAGGGGTCATCGGTACCAAGTGTACTGAGAGCTTTAAAGGGGCAGTTCTTGGGCGCCTGGGTGGCTCAGTTGGTTAAGCGACTGCCTTCGGCTCAGGTCATGATCCTGGAGTCCCGGGATCGAGTCCCGCATCGGGCTCCCTGCTCGGCAGGGAGTCTGCTTCTCCCTCTGGCCCTCCCCCCTCTCATGTGCTCTCTCTCATTCTCTCTCTCTCAAATAAATAAGTAAAATCTTTAAAAAAAAAAGGGGGGGGCAGTTCTTTAAGGAATTCCCTTGTAGGAATTTATCGTAAGGAAGTGATCATGGATTCGGACAGAGACTTAGCTTCAAAGATGTTTATTGCAGCACTGTTTATAATTTTGAAAAATTAGAAAAAGCCAACAGGAACAGTGGAGGATTGTTTCAACTGTAGAATGTTAATACTATGAAATTATATAGCTACTCACAGTGTATTAATTGAAAAATGATGCCCCTATTTTTGTTTTTTATTATAAGTAGCTGAATTTAAAAAGACTGAGATTCATTATCGACATAGAGAAAAAAGACTGTCAAAGGCCATCTTTGAATGGTGGGATTATGGATGATTTTTATTTCCTATCTTTGCTTGTTTTTTTTCTGAACTTTCTACAGTGACCGTGTATTGTTTTGATAATAAAGAAAGGAAAACCTGACTTAGAGCTAAATCTTTAGGAAGCAGGCCATACTTCTTGGAGTCGATTTCCTTCTGTTATTAGGATATCCTCTCCTTTGGTCAAAAAACAGGAACATTTAGTGGTGGGCAGAAAAAAGCTTATAACTTCTTTTCTGCTTATATAAATAAATATGCTTATTAAAGAAAATTTGGAAAACATAAAAAGGAGGAAGAAGATGACTCATCAGCCAGAGAACATTAACATTTTCATACAGCTCCTTCTGTTTTTCCCTAGGTCACATGATGTAGATTTCTCTAAACTGGATTTTTTTCACTTAACATTTAAAAAAAATCTTAACCCACCTTGAAACCTTCACATTTAAAAGCATAGTGAATGTCTTTCATCAACCTAATCATATATTGGGCCCGAAAACATGCACAATGCTTCATGGCTAGGCATCGCCTCTGCAGTCTTTCCTCAAGTTTCTTGAAGTCACGGGGGGAGTCCTGGGGGCTGGCGGGCTCTCTCCCAAGTGATGAGGTAGTGGGCACACAGTGTTTCCACCTGAACTAGGCTTCATTTTCAAGACTTCCTCATAGTCCCTATTTATGTGAATTATCTGTGTGGTTACCTTCCGGCCCTCTGTCTTCTAGAAAGTGAGCTCCTTGAGGAATGGCAGGGACCTTGTTTCGCTCACAACCTTACGCCTAGTGCTGAGGGTATGCCTAACACAGAGTGGAAACCCTTTTCAGGCAGAAACCTTTCAGCTCCTCCAGGAGAATATAAAAGTGGAGTATTTTAACAAATACTGCAAACGGGATGAACAATGCAAATACTGTCTCAAGAGGAAGGTACAGAATTCATACACATCGTGCCTATCTCTGAGAAGAAAAAGATTCTTTGCGTGGGCTGGCATGGAGGAACTTGGATATTTTACTCTGTGTTATTTAAATTTTTACAAGCATAGATTCACATTAGCTGCACAGTTTTAGAACTGTTCTTTAGGTATTGCTCTACCAACATTTCTTCCTCTTGGCTCTCAAATCCTTTTTCCTTCCTGTGTCTTAGGAGTTTTCATGCGATGTTGCATTGCATTGGGATATACAAATTTGTTAAAACATTTTTTGTTGTTATTCCTAGGATTTAGAAGAATTCTGCTTCAGGTTTTGCATAAACCATTTGACTGTAGTAACACAGACTTCAGGCTTTGCAGAAATGGACCATGATCTTCTCAAGAACTTTATCAGCAAAGCAAGCAGAGTTGGAGCCTTTAAAAATTGATCCTCACCTGCAAGAAATAATTTTTAGCATTTCCATTTTCCCTGCAAAAGCCAGAGGATAACTTCTCCTTAATAGTATTTATGACGAGCTACCCTTGGCTGAATACTTACCTTCTGTCAAAAGAAGGCAGTGGTCAGACGTCTGCGCCATCAGCTCAAGTCTGAAGTTGCCGGTAGAAAGCAGTCAGTGCTCTGATCAGATGTGACTAAGCCCAAGGGAAAAAAACTGAAACGTCTTATTTACCATTTCCTCTTTCGAGTCACTTAAGTCGGACACTTTTGGTACATTGGTCTAAGTATATGCTATTCTAGCCAAATTTTCATTCTTCCAAAAGCTGGTATCACACAGAGAGCTTGACAAGGAATGCTGTCATAACATATTGTCAGCATCCAGCACGGTGCCTTCCATACCCGGTAGGCACTCAGTTAATTTCTTAGAAATCTGAAGTATGCCCTTAGAACAGCTTTATTTGTGGGATACTGGATGAAGGGATAACTTGCACAAAAACAAATTTGAAATAGCCTGTAACTAGTGAGGTTCATATTCTTCTGGTAACTGGTTCTGAGTCATAGTGACTAACTATGAGCATTAATTAAAGTCCACAGACAGCCTTGGCAATTAACTGTCAGAGTCCCAAGGGCTAATTTTAATTTTCTGCTTACTCTGAGTCATTAATTTCTCATATGGGATTATTGAATATGAAGTCCTGTCTCTGAATGAATGTTATTTCTGGGCTCATCTGCCTTACATAATTGCATTATGTCTTTCCCTTTTGTGTTAAGAGAGATTTGCCTGTGTAAGTAAAAATGATTACGCGTTTCTCTTGTAGTTGACTTTTATGTCCCTATAAAACAGTTCTCTTAACCTGGCACAGAATAATTATAAAGTGCTAGCTGAAAAGGATCTCACACTTAAATTTCATGGACAGCATTAACAAGAATGAGATAAATTTATACTTTTTAGATCAAAACAAGTTACCCAACTGCAAGAGAGAAACTGGAACGGGATGTAGGATGTAGTGTCAGATTCCTCTAATACGTGGTTTCACAATATGATACGTGTTTCACAATATATTATGTAAAGAAAACTCTTTTGGAATTAGAAACCTTGTTCTGATGCTGAACTATTTGATAATAAAGTGTTTATTTGCAGATAATAGGACAAATGTGTGGTTTTTTAATCCCTAAGCAGCAGCAAAATTATATCAACCTGACATCACTTACAAAAACCCATTTGATAAAAGCTTATTTTTGGAAGCAGCTACGCAGATAAGGTATCATAGCAAAGCCCACCCTAAAACATAAATGGCACATAACATAATTACTGTTCATATTATTAAACGTGACTGCTCTTTATTGGTGAGGTCACTTGTGTTTTTGTTTTTTGTTTTTTATTTTTTTAAAGATTTCATTTATTTATTTGACAGAGAGACACAGCGAAAGAGGGAACACGAGCAGGGGGGGGTAGGAGAGGGAGAAGCAGGCTTCCCTCGGAGCAGGGAGCCCGATGCGGGGGGCTCGATCCCAGGACCCTGGGACCATGACCTGAGCTGAAGGCAGACGCTCAGCGACTGAGCCACCCAGGCGTCCCTTGTTTTTGTTTTTTAAAGATTTTATTTGAAAGAGAGCACCCATGGACGCACAAGCGGGCGGAGAGGCAGAGGGAGAGGGAGAAACAGACTCCCCACTAAGCAGGGAGCCTGACCACATGGGGTTCGAGCCCAGGACCCCAGGATCATGACCTGAGCCGAAGGCAGACACTTAACTGACTGGGCCACCCAGAACCCCCCCCGGTGAGGTCACTTTTGAATCCTTAGTTCCTTTTTATCTGTTTTTGCAGACCTTAGCTGGTAGGGGCAAAGTGGCCTGGATGTCTCTAGTTCTAAATCAGAATCCTGTTTTTAGAATTATGTAGTCTTATTCAGTTATTTGTTATTTTAAGTCAGCCATATATACCATTTGTTTTCATTATTTGCTAGATGTGCTATTTTATCTACCAGAGAAACATTCCGACGTGGGACTGGCCACAGCTATCCGCTCGGGCTGTTGGACAGCTGCAGGCTGCGTTGCTGACGCTGCCCCGCTCAGCCTCCTGTGCCACTGACTGATGCCTTTCCATCCTCATGAGCTCTTCCGAAACCTCTTCCTTTCTTGTCTATTTCTGACAGGGTCTTCTGAAGCTTCTTGATGCCTCTTTCTTTTATAAAATCATTTCACGTAAAATTGGAACACTCGGGGCGTCTGGGTGGCTCAGTTGGTTAAGCATCTGCCTTCGCCTCAGGTCATGATCCGGGGTCTTGGGATCAAGCCCCGCATCGGGCTCCCTGCTTGGTGGAGAGTCTGCTTCTCCCTCTCCCCCTGCTCCTCCCCCTGCTCGTGCTGTCAAATAAATAAATAAAATTTTAGAAAAAAAATTGGAACACTCAAAGGGAACAGCTAAGGTTATTTAGGCATGAGAAATGGCCTGCCCTTTCCTGAACACCACAGAGTCAATAGCCATGCTTCCAGAGTACCAGTTCCTCAAAAGGGCTGGATGGACTTTTACCCAGATTTTCTAAGCTTTGCTATGTGTAGATTTGCACTGCTATATCTCTCCATTCTTATCTCTGAGTACAATAGAATGATCTATGGAACTTTTACAAAATACAGATTTAAGGATTCTAATTCAGTATATTTAAAAAACTCCCCAAGTAATTTTGATGTTTAGCCAAGTATGAAAGCCACTATTTAACCCTTAAAATCTGGGACTCCACACAAGAAAGGGCTAATTAGGCCAGCTGAGAGATGACAGATGAGTCCCATGGATACATCCCTGAAGAATACATTCCTTTCTCTATGGTCTTTGAGGATAGGCTTGCCATCAACACTCCTATATGAAGGATCACAACACTTTCTTTCTAACAGATGAGTGTTTGTAGAGCCCCAGAAACCTTGCTGTTCAGTTAGGGATACGTGAGGGAAAAGGTACATTTTTCATCATAATGACACTGCATCAGAGATTAACGAATTCTTTATCTTACATAAATTCATCTTAGGTTTTTCTATCCTCAAGTTCTGTTTCCTCTCTGCTCACACAAGGAAGTTCAATGATTTAGTGCTTCTGGTATAATTCCAATACAGCTTACACAGAGAAGGGTTAAGGTTTTATAGGAATACCGTCACCCGCTGATAGAGGTTTGTGAAGATATCATTTAACGCTTTTTAAAACTAAAGGTTAATGGGGGCGCCTGGGTGGCTCAGTCGTTGGGCGTCTGCCTTCGGCTCGGGTCATGATCTCAGGGTCCTGGGATCGAGCCCCACATCGGGCTCCCTGCTCCACGGAGAGCCTGCTTCTCCCTCTCCCACTCCCCCTGCTTGTGTTCCCTCTCTCGCTGTGTCTCTCTCTGTCAAATACATAAAATATTAAAAAAACAAAAAAACCCAAAAAAACCCCCTAAAGGTTAATGTTCTTCAGCTGAGACCTGAAGAAATTGCCAGTCATTCTGGACCAAACATGGTTTCTATTTAGAGGCAGGATTCCTGAGCGGTGATAATGAAAAGAAACAACGATAAACTACATAGTCTTGTCTTTTTTGTTTTGGGTTTCTTTGGTCTATCTTATTAGCCCTCCCCATGCTAATATTACAACAGACGGTGAGGGAAAATTGCAAAGAAAAATGAAAAATCATACCTGTTATTTTTAATTCAGTCTTTGCCAAAGCATAAACACATAAACCATACTGATTTCCTCTCACTCAATTCTGTTGAAATGACATTTTCTGTTGAGGAAATAAGTGAGGTTGGTCTGTGGCATAAATTTAACTTTCATATTAAATTGTCATTATCTTATATGCCAGCGCTAGTATATAAGTATACCCCCAAAATAACAAACACAGAAGAAGATTCCCGAGAATACCCAGCTTCATATTAAAAGAGCTTGTTTTAATTCCGTTCAGACAGGATACTGCGTTACCAAGATATATTTCTATCTCACATGCTATACTTGTGGTAGAAATTTGTTATTTCTAAAGGCAAAGTTTCCTGTTGTCCTGTAAAATACGTATTTAGTCCAAAGGAAAATTCTACTGAATGAATCATTACTAATGCCATGGACACCAGCCCAAAAATGAGGAACAAAAAGATGCTTTGACGGGCAAGTTTCTTTGAAATCATCCAGATGGCCATAGAACTAGTAGATAGGGTTTTTCTCCCATTTGCACCTGAAAACTGTAATGAGGAGTAAATAAATAAATGAATTTGAACTTGTCCTTTTTCCTATAAAGAGCTTTAACTGCTAGAATGCTAAATCTCTGGAAGTGATTAATTTTCTATCATCCAGACTAAAAACTTGTAGTGTCATAAAGGCTGCTTGATTTTGCCTTGCCCTAAGAGATGCATTTCATGTAAGATCCCCACCCAACAAAAATACAGTCCGCTGAGGTATGCTTGCTGCTTTTCCGGCCCTAAGCTCTTTGCTTTGCTTCCTTCAGAAACAAACAGGCTACCGTTCTGGGAGGAGACAATTTCACTTTCCACTCTGTTTTTGAGAAATCATATTACTTAAATTCGAGGTATTCCCTTATCTGACACCCTTGGTACCAGATACGTTTCATACTTTTTTTTGGAGTTTAGTACCTATGGTACATACCGCGTAATATGTAATACCTGAGTAGGGCCTAGGTTAGATTCCCAAAATCAATGTATTAATATTTTTGTAGTGAAACAAGAATATTCCTACTAAATGGGATAAAGGCTGTAAACAGCTCTATGTCAGTTTAGATACGCTTTTGATGCACGTTGACTTTTGTCACCAAATACACAGACCACTTGGGTTTTTAAGCTTTTTAGATTTCAGAATTGCAGATAAAAGACTGTGGACTCGTGATATCTATATCTATATGGGATGTTTGGGAGGAAAGGCCTTTAATACATACACTTTGTAGGGTGTCTGGGTGGCTCAGTCGTTGGGCGTCTGCCTTCTGCTCAGGTCATGATCCCAGGGTCCTGGGATCGAGCCCCACATCGGGCTCCCTGCTCTGCGGGAAGCCTGCTTCTCCCTCTCCCACTCCCCCTGCTTGTGTTCCCTCTCTCGCTGTCTCCCTCTCTGTCAAATAAATAAAATCTTTAAAAAAAAAAATATATATATACACACACACACACTTTGCATGAGATGAACAGATTCTTGCTTCCCCACTCTTTGTCTCACAACTGTCTCTGTTTCTCGGATGTGCTATTATCATTCCTCAAGCACACAGGCATATTGCTACCTCCAAGCACTGGCTTTTCTGCTCTGTGGGCTGTTTTCCCGTCATTGTACGACTTACTCCCTGGCCTTTTCCAGGCTTTGCTCAAAGGTCATCTCAGGAAGTCTCTCCCTGACCACCCTATTTTACATTCTTAAATTCCTTTCCGATCAGCACTCCTTATCCTTCTTGATATGTTTTTCTGCACAGCACTTAATACAATCAGACACACTATTGTTTATTCACTTGCTCCCTGTCCCTGAAACTACAATTAGATGGGAAGCTCCACAGAGATAGGGATCTTAGGTTTATTTACCCATTGCTGTATCCCTCGCATTTAGAGCTGTGCCTGGAACATGGTAGGTACTCAGTACATGACATATTAAAAGAGGAAGAGAATATTTATTATTTGTTTCCATATACTTGGAAAAATATGCAAAATACATTCTTTTTTTTTTTTTTTTTTTGACTACATAGGGGCTTCTTCTAGGTGCTAGAGCTCTGAGATCAGCCAAAGTGATGCTTCCCATCTGAGGAGGGAGGTTGATGCAGGGATGAGTAGACAGGCAATAGGCATGTTAAGGCAGATCTAACATTAGCGGTAGCAGCTGGTTATGCCCATACCCAGTGTTCAAGAAAGATTAATGCCTAATATTGGCAAAAAGAATGAGCTATTTGGAAGTCTAATGTATGTTCATCTAAAATAATTACCATAGAGTATGTGCTCAAAAATTGTTGAATTAATCAATGAATGTGAAAGTCCTTTCTGCAGAATCATGAATGCAATTTCTGTTTTATGAATGTATCCTTTGAGACATATTTAATAAATAAGCCTTATAATTCTATCTGAAAAAAAAATAGGCATGTTAAGGCAATTTCTGAAGGTGATAAACACTGTTACACTTTTGAAGGAGAGTAACATGATGATACAGAGTAAGGGTTTTAGCTTGTGTGGTCAAGGCAGGCCTCTGAGCTGATGAGCCCTGAAAGACTGGAAGGAAGCACCTATGCAAACGTATGGGGGAAGAGCACTCCAGACAGAAGGAACAGCAAGTATAAAAGCCTGAGGTAGGGAGAGGGTTGTGAGGAAAGGTCAGCATGGCTAACGCACAGTGAGCAGGGAGAAAGTAGCATGAGAGGAGGATGCAGAAGCAGAGAGAGGACACTTCCCAGGCCATGGTAAGGAGTTTAAATACCTGAGTAGCAATGTGAATCCATTTATATATTAAAGGGATCATTTTTGCTCTTAAGCTGAAAGGTAAAGAGGAAAGAGGGAACATGGAGACCAGTTAGACGTCTAAAACAGTGGTCTCAACAAAAGCAGGTAAATGACTAATCTTAGGGTTTTGGCTTGACCAAGTAAGTGGTTGGTAAAATTGGGAAAGACTAGGGCAGAAACAAGGTACTTTTGTTTGATTTTGGTTTCTATTTTGAGAATTCAGGGGATGAGGGAAGAGAGTGAGACTCAAGAGTTCTCTTGGCTATGAGGGCTCTGACCTCCATGAAGAGGTCAGGCTGGGAAATAAATTTGGGGATCATCAGCATATGAAGCCAATTAAAGGTTAAGAATGGATGAGACACCAGGAGAGAACTCAGATATAGAGGAGAATATTAAGGCACTTGATACAAAGAATATATCAGACCATTAAGACTCTTAGCAACTAATTTATTTTAAAATAGACAAACTATTAACTGTAGAAAATAGTAACATAGCAATTTTAAATGTACAGTTTTAACCAATACAAAAAAGCGATAAAGCAGTATCTGAAGCCTTATGTAAGAAATCTCAATACAGGATCTCTGAAGTTTTTAAAATTCTGGCACTAACTCTAACATGAGCTTTCATTAGCAAAAAATCCAGAAATATGGTAGCTCTTGACCTAAAAGCTAACTGATTTTTATGATATTCATGCAAAAATTAATGAAGAAATGGGAGAAAGCTTCCTAGTGCCTTGTTATAACTGCCAAAAATAAGTTTGAAACTTAACTGAGCACAAAATAAAATTTCATTTTCTAACAAGACCAGATTTCTTTTTAAAAAGAACTCTGAGTTTAGACAAAGTGATTTTCCTAAAAGCTAGCTGATGCTACCTTAAATATCACCTACTTTAAATTATACCATCTCTAAATAAGTTAATCACACAAGATAGTTTAAATACACCTTTAGGTGTCAGGGGAAAGCGCCTCTTTTTCTAACACAGCTGTTTTCATTTGAAGCTTTTGCACAAAACCAGATAGAAACATGAATGCCTAACCCAAAGACCTTTGATTACTTGCAATTTTCGAGTAGAAATGATGTGGCTTTGAATATGCCAGTGTTAGACCATACTGACTTAAAAAAATAAAAGATAAATAGACAACTGCCAGTTCAAAAGATACATGGAAGACATGTACAATTCCAGAGAAAACACCCCTTCCCAAATTTAGGAGGGCAGAATAATTGCTGAGATGCAATTAGACAAACCTCTAAGAAAGAAAAATTAAGGCTCCTATAGTTAACAGTCTGTTTGTGGAATGAAATTGTTTTATATCTTGATTCTTCAGGACCCAGAAACATTAGAAAGTGCACTTGGGATATACTGTCTTAGGGCCCTCTCTAGCAAAGCTCTAGCTGAACACTTGATTTTCCAAGTACTAGATGGTTACTTCCTGAATTCAGTGATCTGAATGGTATTAAAACCAAGAGTACTATTAATAACCCTCATTTTTAAAGCATGAGTTGGATGAAGAAAAGAATCAATAAATTCTTACAAGTCCTGAGGTATGAAATCTGTATCAGTAGTATGACAACATCATTTGTTTATACTTTGTTTTCTGCTTGTGTTTAAAAACTAAAATTTATAAAACAAGCACACAGTACATCAGATTCCATTAGTAAACTAAAATCTAATGTGTAAAAATTAGTGATTTTTTTTTTCTAGTTTCTAATATCTGTTTTAGCAGAAGAGTTCAGGATCATTTGGGTGAAGGGGGAGTAGTCAGCCAAATTGCATTTGGAAGACAGGACACATATTCTAAGGGCGTTCGTGTTAAATTAAAAAAAATATATAAATATAAATTAATAAAAATAATAGCAAACATCACATACATGCCACAAGAAAAGACAAAGTACTCAAATAGGCCTGGGTTGTTCGGACCGCCACTCCCAGGGCATCCTCCCCATTTGTAGAGCAGAGCAATTATACTTTGGAAATGGAAACATCCACTACAAATTTAAATGGCAGTATTTACACAAGATTTTTAATCTTGTGCAATAACAAGTATATTCTACCGACTACGACATTGCAAGTGGCTTAGGAATCCCCTGCACGCACACCACACGCAAGCCCGTGTGCGCACTGGACATCCACCAGAAGAGCTGAAGATAGGTATTCAATGCGGCCGTAAACAGAACCTGGGAGAGTCACACAGTGGGATCTGTGAGAGACCATGAGGCCAGAGGTGTACTCGGTGCCCACGGGGGTCATAGGACCCTCATTTTTCTTCCCTGTTTGAGGTATCCATGCTATCGTTCATTTTCTGCTTCTGCATTCGTGTTCGGGTAGATGCTGGAAAGAGGATGAAGAAATGTCAATAGCACTGATGGCGCTAGGTAAGTTGACAAAGGGCTGCCATAAAGGTTACTCTTGTGCCAAATCGAAGGAGTTCAGGGCCTGGCAAAGCAGTGGCTTCCAAATTTTTCATCATGAATTCTTTTCCAAGCATGTACCACTAAACTTGTCTGTGTATATGCATACCATTTACGTTTGTGTCTAAATTATAAAACACACATAGCCCAAACAAACACGAACAACAGATGAGATAAAAATAGAGATTCTAGTATTTTCTCTATGTACCCCAAAGGCGGCCTCATATACTCCCACGTGTGCCCAACTTTGCAGACCACTGCAGCAGAGATGCTGAGGTTGAGTTTGGCCCTGGGGCAGAGCAGAACGCCGGACTGGCCCAGAATGGTCCGCTGAAGGGAGTGGTACTCTTCCGAATGCAAGCAATCCCCTTGTGCTTGGGGATGCCTTGCAAAGGCATCAGCTCACGGCTCACTTAATTTCGACGGGAACATCGTATAAGTACAGTATTAATTACAACATAGACAAAATCAGAAAACTTCTTTTAAGTTATTTAAAAATTCTTAACTTGACTTTAGTGGTAGGCAGAAGCTCCTCATTTCAAAGTAGCGCAAATTCACACTTGGAAAAGAAAGCAAAGACGAATTCTAAGTCCTCCCCCTCTGCCCAATCTAGCACTGTGGGATGGCCGTTTTTGAATGCCATCCTTTGAGGAAAAGTGAAGGATTCCTCAGCCCTAGGGGTTTAAACTCCTGCTGCTTCCCTCCAGTTTGCAGCCGCATCCAGGCCCTGAACTCCAGCCAGGCATCGGCATCGGGAATTCACCTCGCGGCCGGCCCAGTGCGATGCAAGCTGGAAAATGTACCCATCACAGCAACTGAACTCTTCTCTAAGAAAACATACATATTTTTACAGCTTTCTGCTCCTTGTAAAATGCATATTTGTGAGCTTCAAAATGCTTCCAAATGTTTTCAAGGCCTCATTCTGGTCAGAAACGTTCTATTTTCACGTTCTGAGCAGCAATGCCACAACTACTTCAGGGTTGAAACAGAAGTGGATCAGTTGGTGTAAAATCCAAACAGAGATTCGTTATAACCAAAACATGTAAACCCTTGGTATAGTTAGTGTTAATTGTTCTCTTCAAAATAATATACATAGGAATGGTTTAAAAAAATCAAAAGCATTCTTTTAAGTACTTTATACTTTAAATACTTAGTATTTAGGGGCACATGTTTAGAGAAGCCCCTTTTTAAAAAGTCACATTTCAACTGGTATTGTTCTTACTGATAAGTCTTATGACCTAGGAATAACAGTTTTAAATCTTATTATCTCCAAAGTACTTGTCTTCTCTCCCAGGGCCAGCTATTTTTCCTGTCGGTGGGTCTGGCAGCAGATGATCAGGAAACATCAGGAAAAGTCACACTCGCTACCACAGCTCAGTCCCTGGGACAGCCCAGGGGTGGTCAGTATACGTCTGCCTTCTTCTTAAAGTACTTTCCATCTATTCTACCTGGGTTAATCTTGTATCGTCTTGGAGTAGCTTGGGATAGAATCCCATTTTCTGCGTAACTTGGAAAATGATTTGGCAATGATCTGGAGCTCTTTATCAAAATTCTGATTTCCCGTAATGGAAAACTTTTGTTTGACATTGTTTTAAAACTTGGAAACAAGAGAAGTTCAATAACAGAATAAAAAATTATTCTTCAAATAAGGATGATGATGTTCCTATATGCTAATTTTATAAAACCTTTCCCTGTATCCAACACTTTTAAAGAGTTCCTCATCATAGTTTTGCTCTACTGAGGTATTTCTAACCACAGCCATTCATGCTGAAAATGTGGTTTCACTTCTTAGTATTCCTGCACTAGAGATTTTAGAGAGGGTAAAGATGACCTTCATTTTGCATGATACATTTAATCCACAAATGTCTGTGGGTAAAGAGTACATTCTTGATTGGATTACATTTTAAGTGCATAAGCGAGTGTGCTAATTTAGGGAATTATATGTATTTATTCCTTTAAAAAAGCAAAGGCTTTTTGCAATACAAACAATGGTTTCATTTATGTAGGGTGAAATGGTAAGTACTTACTCATTTCTGCCAGTTTCTGTTGAAATTTGGATTCCCCTGGGAGATGTTTACTGCAGATTTAAAAAAGGGAAGATATTTCATATATATATGTATAAATGGAAAACTCAAATTTTCAATAACTATGGTGGTTCCAATGACTTATTTTATACTCTTAGCGAGTAGCTTTTAATTTGAGAGGTTTATAAACCATCTAAAATACAAACCATCACAAAGTTATAATCTTTTGCATTTTGTCAGTGATTCTTATAAAACACCGTAGTTTTTTTTAAGAGTAAGTATTTAAAAATCTAATGTTAATCATAACAAAATTTTATTAATGACTTTATAAAAAAAGATTAAAAATAGCAAGATTGTTAATATCTGATATGTTCGATGAATTTCAGGAGATAGTATATGATTTAATGGTGTTAAGCTTGGGATATATTCCTATTTTTTTGAGCAATCTTCACAATTTCCAAATAAAATTGGTATAAAAGGGTTTGATGGAAGTTAGGAGCAGAGCTAGCACTCTGGCTTCTCCATGGGACCAGCTCAGCTACTGAAAAACATTCAACAGCTGTTCCTACCTTCCATCTGCTTCATCTGATCCTTCAATATCAAAGCGTAGTTTTTTCAATGGTTTAGGAGGGTTGCTGCCTTCAGCACTTCTTTTGAGCACACGGTCGCTGTTACACACCATCTGATTTATTTTCTGGAACTTCTCAGAAGTCTACAAATTACAGAATTATTTATTTTAAATCATTAATACCAGCATTTTGTAGTTGCAACCCTTAATTGTAGTTTGAGGGGTATCAAAAATCAGGCAGAGGTAATATCTGCATTTTAATTTTCTGCTTCATTGCACCAAATGAGATATGGAAAAATCTTAGAATCAGTATAACTACACCAAACCTGCCCCAATTAAATATCTCCCTGTCTCTCCCTATGAGGCTCCTTCCCTTCCTCCAACAACTCTGACTACCACTCTAAAAATCCTGGTTCCTCATTTTTGGAACTCACCCACACGCAAAACCAGGGCTACTTCTCAGAAGCATGTAAAGTTGGAATGGCTTTCTAGAACCTTGTGGGTTTTGTTTGTTTGAGGGCATAACCAGAAAGAATATCACAAGAATCTAATAAGAAGTGAAATGTCTAGTCAATCATAATTTTGGACTCACTTTATGGATATTACGTTGACAAGTCATATAGTTGATGTATTTTAAACCATTACTGATACAGTATTTATTGAAATGCTAATTCATAGTTTTTTAAATCAAATATCAAAAGATTTCGAATCATTATTACTAGAGATGATTTGAGATCTATATATCTTGAGGGAGAATCTTGTCACAGCAAAGTAAAGAAAGCTTTGGTAATAAATACCAAAGAGGACACAATACCTTATTTCATCCAAGGACAAGCACATGGAAAAATTCTATTTCTTATTTATCTACTTTAGAACTGGAGTGAGGGGGTCACCTCAGGGATGTGTATGAGTATGTTCATCTGAACTAAAAAGTGAAACCAGACTATCGGTAGAAATTAGGTCCGATTTGACTGACTGATTTGACAGTGAGATTTAGCTTTACTAATTAAGCTTTCTTTTCCAAAAATTAAATGAGGCAATTTTCTTTTAAGATTTTATTTACTTATTTATTTTAGAGAGAGACTGTGTGTGCTCATGAGCAGGGGGAGGGGTAGAGGGAGCCAGAGAGAGAAAATCTCAAGCAGATTCCAAGCTGAGTGTAGAGCCCGATGCAGGACTCAATCTCACAACCTTGAGATCAGGACCTGAGTGGAAATCAAGAGTCAGATGCTCAACTGACTGAGCCACTCAGGTGCCCCTAAATGAGGTAATTTTCTAAAAATTAAATGCAGGGGTGCCTGGGTGGCTCAGTCATTAAGTGTCTGCCTTCGGCTCAGGTCACGATCTGGGGTCCTGGGATCAAGCCCCACATTGGCCTCCCTGCTCGGCAGGAAGCCTGCTTCTCCCTCTCCTATTCCCCCTGCTTGTGTTCCCTATCTCGCTGTGTCTCTGTCAAATAAATAAATAAAATCTTTAAAAAAGTAAAAATAAAAAAAATTAAAATTAAATGCAAAAACAGGTTTTGATGGAAATAAGTTTAGAGCACATATATAATATGAAACTAGATTCCTGTGTATGTATTAAATTTATGATAAGATTTTTAGTTATCAGATTTAAAATATGTAAGTTCATATAAAATTTTCTCAATTCTTTTAGAGGTTATTTCAAGCAGAAATTTTGAGGACCACTACTCTATATGTATCCAGATCCAACCCTACTTACGTGGTTCCACATGTCCTTTGTGAAGCCTGACAGCTGCAGCCTACCTTGAGCTAAATGTCACAGCATTTACTATTTGTAACATACATTTTAACACCCAGTCTTTTAGTATACAAACTATTATCTTTCTCTAGTTATATTTGGGGCAGTGGGGTAGGCAGACTCTAGAATGGGTCTCACTAATCCTCACCTCCTAGATTTTACATTCGTGCAATCCTCTCTTCCCCGAGTGTGTAGGTTGGACCTAGTGTGACTTGCTTCTGACAAAAGTAGGACAAATGTGATAGAACATCACTTCCAATATTAGTTACAAAAAGACTGTGATTTCCATTGTGCTCTATATCTCCCTCTTTCCCTCTCTCTCTTCTTGTTCTGAGGGAAGCAAGATGCCATTTGTGAGTAATGAGTGGCTCCACGTAGAGGCTCAAGTGACAAGGAACTGATGGCTTAGAAAAATATATGTAACGTATTATATAATCTCAAAGGATGTTTAGAAAACCACTTTGAAATTCACCAATTAGGAGTATAACTTGAAATTAAATCTGATTTGAAAATAAGTCTGCTATCGATCTATCTTCTAAATTCTATGCAACATGCCTTGCTGAGGTGTTTGCATAATAGTATTTGTCAATTCAAGTTACAGAAATTTGCACTTTCTTTTATGGTTACAGTGTATGCCCTTATATTTCATAGAAAGAAAATACTCACCCCAAATGATTCACCAATGGATACTAAGATTCTGTCAAGATAAAATACAAATTAGTAATGAAGATCATATGTAACTGTGCAGAGATGAACATATATCATTCTGAGCTATTAGAAATACCAAATCAAAGGTCTGCTCTACCCTAGAACCACAACAAAATTACAGTCATTAGGGCCTTATTCTAACAGTGCTAATCTAATCAGACACTGAGCTGGTCTCTTAGATTTTTAAAGAATTACATGTCTGAAAGAACGTATTCTGCCACCGTCCGCATTTAAAGAAGGTAAAGGAAAATTTTAAGTTTACCCATACTTAATTCTTCGTAAATCAATGGGTAAGTAATCAATTAAAATTTCACATTTCCTCATTAAAAACTCACATAACAATTAGCAAAAAATTAGAGTATTAATAATCAGAATTCTAATTAAGATCTCTACTGATATATAGTAAAGTCTACTTATCATATATCCTAGAATCGGAAATCTATTATTCTGCTTGTCCTTGTTTGAACCATATAATTTATGTTCTTTTGTTTTTAATTGAGTATAGCTGACACACAATGTTACATTAGTTTCAGGTGTACAACAGAGTGATTCAACAAGTTTATACATTATGCTGTGCTCGCCACAGTGTAGCCACCATCTGCCACCATACATCACGACTGCAGGATCACTGACCATTATCACTAGTATCACTACTCATTATGTTGTACCTCTTATTGCCCATGACTTATTCATTCCGTAACAGGAAGCCTATATCTCCCACTAACCTTCACCCATATTGTCCATCCTACCCTGCCCTCTGGCAACCATCAGTTTGTTCTTCGTATTCATAGGTCTGATTCTGGTTTTTGTTTATTCTTTTTTAAATCATACGGTATTTGTTTTTCTCTGACTTATTTCACTTAGTGTTATATCCTCTAGGTCCATTCATGTTGTCTCCAATGGCGTGCTCTTAAACTTTTTAATGATTGCATAATATCCCCTTTTATATATGTGTATATATATTTAGTGGCTGCATAGTATTCCCTTGTATGTATGTGTATGTATATATATCTAGATATATATATCACATCTTCCTTATCCATTCATACATCAGTGGACACTCAGGTTGCTTCCATATCTTAAATACTGTAAATAATGCTGCAGGGCGCCTGGGTGGCTCAGTTGGTTAAGCGACTGCCTTCGGCTCAGGTCATGATCCTGGAGTCCCGGGATCGAGTCCCGCATCGGGCTCCCTGCTCAGCGGGGGGTCTGCTTCTCCCTCTGACCCTCCCCCCTCTCATGTACTCTCTCTCATTCTCGCTCTCTCAAATAAATAAATAAAATCTTTAAAAAAAAAAAATAATGCTGCAGTAAACATAGGGGTGCATATATCTTTTCAAATTATTGTTTTCACTTTCTTTGGGTAAATACCCAATGGTGGAATTATTGTATCATATGGTATTTGTATTTTTAAGTTTTTGAAGAACCTCCACACTGTTTTTTATAGTTGGCTGCAGCAATTTACATTCCCACCAACAGTGTATGAGGGTTCCTTTTTCTCCACATCCTCACAAACACTTATCTTGCCTTTTTATTCTAGTCATTCTATAGGTGTGATATCTCACTATGGTTTTGATTTGCATTCCCCTGATGATTACTGATTTTGAGCATCTTTTTATGTGTCCATTGGCATCCATATGTCGTCTTTGGAAAAATGTCTATTCAGATCTTCTGCTCACATTTTAATTGGATTGTTTATTTGCTATTGCATTATAGGAGTTCTTTATAAATTTTGAAAATTAACTCCTTATCAGATATGTGGTTTGCAAATATTTTCTCCCATTCATTAGGTTGCCTTTTCATTTTGATGATAGTTTCCTTTGCTTTTCAGAAGGTTTTTATTTTGATGTAGTTCTACTTGTTTATTTTTGCTTTTGTTTCCCTTGCCTTAGAAGACATACTAGAAAAAATGTTGCCATGGCTGATGTCAGAGAAATTACTGCCTATGATCTCTTCTAACAGTCTTATGATTTCTGGTCTCACATTTAGGTCTTTAATCCATTTTGAGTTTATTTTCGTGTATGGTATTAAAAGATGGTCCATTTTCATTCTTTTACATGTAGCTGTCCAGTGTTCCCAGCACCATTTAGTAAAGAGACTATCTTTCCCCCCTTCTCCTTTGGCATAGATTAATTGACCATATAATCATTAGTTTATTTCTGGGCTCTCTATTCTGTTCCATTGATCTGTGTTTATTTTTGTGCCACTACCATGCTCTTTTGATTACTACAACTCTGAGGTATATCGTGAAACCTGGGGTAACCTCCAGTTTTGTTCTTCTTTTTCAAGATTGCTTTGGCTATCTGGGGTCTTTTGTGGTTTCATACAAATTTTAATATTATTTGTTCTAGTTTGTGAAAAATGTTGTTGGTATTTTGATAGGGATTGCATTGAATCTGTAGATTGCTTTGGGAAACATGGACCTTTTAGCAATATTAAGTCTTCCAATCCATGAACATTGAATATCTTTGCATTTGTTTGTGTCATCTTCAATTTCTTTCATCAATGTTTTAGAGTTTTCAGATACAGGTCTTTTGCCTCTTTGGTTAAGTTTATTCCTAGGTATTTTATTCTTTTTGGTGCAATTGTAAATGGTGTTTTCTTAATTTCTCTTTCTGCTACTTCAGTATTAGTGTATAGAAATGCAATAGATTTCTGTACATTAATTTTGTATCCTGAAACTTTACTGAATTCATTTATTCTAGTAGTTTTTTGGTGGAGTCTTTAGGATTTTCTATGTATAGTATCATGTCATCTGTAAATAGTGACAGTTTAACTTCTTGACCAATATGGATGCCTCTCATTCTTTTTTCTTCTCTGATTGCTATGGGTAGGACTTTCAGTACTATGTTAAATAAGAGTGGTAAGAGTAAAAATCCTTGTCTTATTTCTGATCTTAAGGAAAAAGCTCTCAGTTTTTCACCATGATGTTATCATGTGGGATATATGTTGATAAGCTGTGGGTTTTTATTATCTTGAGGTAAGTTCCCTGTAAACCTGCTTTGTTGAGTTTTTATCATGAATGATGCTGAGTTTTGTCAAATGCTTTTTCTACATCTATTGAGATGATCATATAATTTTTTATCCTTCGTTTTGTTGATGTGGTGTATTACACTGACTGATTTGTGAATATCGAACCACCCTTGCACCCCTGGAATAAATCCCACCTGCTCATGGTGAATGATATTTTTGATATATTGTTGAATGCAGTCTGCTAATATTTTGTTGAGGATCTTTCCACCTATGTTTATCAGGGATACTGGCCTGTAGTTTTCTTTCTTTCTTTTTTTTGGGGGGGGGGGTATTTGTCCGGTTTTGGTATCAGGGTAATGCTGGCCTTATAAATGCATTTGGAAGCTTTCCCTCCTCTTCTATTTTTTGGAATAGTTTGAGGAGAATAAGTATTAATTCTTTTTTAAATGTCTGGTAGAATTCACCTGTGAATGCATCTGCCTGAACATTTATTTTTTTTATTACTGATTCAATTTCATTACTAAAAATCAGTCTGTTCAGGTTTTCTATTTCTTCCTGATTCAGTTTTGGAAAATTCTATATTTCTAGGAATTTATCCATTTCTTCTAGGTTGCCCAATTTGTTGGCATACAATTTTTTGTAGTAGTCTCTTATAATCCTTTGTAATTCTGTGATGTCAATTGTTACTTCTCTTTCCTTTCCAATTTTATCTGGGTCCTTTCTCTTTTTTTCTTGATGAGTCTAGCTAAAGGATAACCAATTTTGTTTATCTTTTCAAAGAGCCAGCTCTTGGTTTCATTAATTTTTTTCTACTATTTTTTTAGTCTCTATGTCATTCATTTCTGTTCTGATCTTTAATTATTTCCTTTCTTCTACTCAACTTGGGCTTTGTTTTTCTTTTTCTGGTTCCTGTTGGTGTAAGGTTATGTTATTTGAACTTTTTCTTGTTTCCTGAGATGGGCTGTATTGCTATATATTTCCCTCTTAGAACTGCTTTCACTGCATCCCAAAGATTTTGGACCATTTTGTTTTCATTTTCATTTCTCTCCATGAATTTTTTGTTTCTTTTTTGATTTCTTTGTTGGCCCACTGGTTGTTTAGTATCGTGTTGTTTAATCTCCACATGCTTGTGATTTTTCCAGTTTTTTTCTTGTGATTTATTTCTAGTTTCATACTGCTTGATTGGAAAAGATGCATGGCATGATTTCAATCTTCTTAAATTTATTGAAGCTTGTTTTGTGTCCTCATATGTGATCCTTTCTGGAGAATGTTCCATGTGCACTTGAGAATAATGTGTATTCTGTTGTTTTTGAATTGAATGTGCTATATATATCTTATGTCCATCTGCTGCAAAGTGTCATTCAAAGACACTGTTTCCTTATGGATTTCCTGCCTGAATGATCTATCCATTGATGTAAGTGCGGTGTTAAAGTCCCTTACTATTATTGTATTACCATCAATTTCTCTCTTTATATCCCTTAATATGTGCTTTATGAATTCAGGTGCTCTAGTGTTTGGTATGGAGATCCTTACAAGTGTTACATCCTCGTGTTGGATTGCTCCCTTTATCATTATGTAATACCCTTCTTTGTCTCTAGTTACAGTCTTTGTTTTAAAGTCTATTTTGGAGTTGCACCTGGCCCAACAACTCCTCATGGCGCTGGCGGCTGCTTGGGCCCGGCGTGATGGTGACTGAGCTGCGAGCCTGGCGGGGCGTGCGCTGAGCCCCGGTCCCACCTCCGAGTCCCCCCTGCTGGCTTCGTAGCCCTGATGCTGCACGGGTGCTGAGCCCACCCTGGCCGGGACGATGGTGAAGTATTTCCTGGGCCAGAGCATGCTCCGGAGTTCCTGGGACCAAGTGTCCGCTGCCTTCTGGCGGCGGTACCCGAATCCCTATAACAAACATGTCTTGACGGAAGACACAGTGCACCAGGAGGTGACCCCGGACCAGAAACTCCTGTCCCGGCGTGTCCTGACCAAGACCAATAGGATGCCCCACTGGGCCGAGCGACTGTTTCCTGCCCATGTTGCTCACTCGGGGTACATCCTGGAGGATTCTATTGTGGACCCGCAGAACCAGACCATGTCCACCTTCATCTGGTTCATCAACCACGCCGGGCTGATGGTTGTGGAGGAACGATGTGTGCACCGTGTGAACGCTGATAACAGCAGCTGGACCGCAATCCGCCCGGAAGCCTGGGTCTCCTCTAGCTTATCTGGTGTCTCCTGAGCTGCCCAGGAATTTGGTCTTGCCGGGTTTAAAAGCAATATGGCCAAGACTATGAAGGGCCTTGAGTACATCTTGGCCAAGCTGCAAGGTGAGGCCCCTTCCAAAACCCTCATTGAGACAGCCAAGGAAGCCAGGAGAAGGTGGAGGAGACGGCACCGGCAGCCACAGAGAAGGCCAAAGACCTTGCCAGCAAGGTGGCCAGCAAGCGGCAGTGACAGCCCCTGCAGCAGCACTGTGTGGAGCCAGCCCAGGCCCTGGTGCAGGACGCCTGGCCACCCGGCACAAGTCCCTCTGCCCTTCCCCCCTTGTACTTCATTATTAAAAGTCAATTTCCAATAAATAAATAAATAGATAAATAAATAAGTCTATTTTGTCTGATGTAAGTGTTGCTACCCTAGCTTTTTTTTTTTTTGCGCTTCCATTTGCATGGTAAATGTTTTCCCATCCTTTTACTTTCAGTCTGTATGTGTCTTTACGTCTAAGGTGAGTTTCTTGTAGGCAGCATATAGGAGGGTCTTGTATTTTTATCCATTCCACCACCCTATATCTTTTGAATGGAGCATTTAGGCCATTTACATTTAAAGTTATTATTGAGAGGTATGTACTCAATGCCATTTTGTTCCTTGTTTTCTGGTTGTTTTTGTAGTTATTTTCTGTTCCTTTCCTTTTCTCTTGCTCTTTTTCTTTGGGATTGATGAGTTTCTAGAGTTTGTTTGGCTATCTTTCTCTTTATTTTTTGTGTATATATCATAGATTTTGAATTTGTGGTTGCCATGAGTGAACCATATAATTGTTTTTAATAATAAAGCTGAAAAACAGCACTAGCCTCACATAACAAGGATATGATCATATGCACACGGAACTAGTAGATATACTTTATTGTACTCCAATTCCTTGATAAGTGGACATCATTCTATATATATTTGATAAAGCAGAATATCTAAATATGCTGGATAAATAGAATGTTAAGACGCTCTCTTAATGGCTGATCAATGATTTATCAAGATTTTGAGAATATGATTTTTTTTGCTAAAGAACCTCAACCGAGAAGTGATTTCACTAAGTTTGGCAAGTAGCCATCATCGTAAGCATAATATGGATCAAGTTATCATTACCTAAGTACACATTTTCATGTGGCAATATGGGACTGTGTAAATTAAATATACATGGTGTATTATCTTAGCAACTTAGAATGTAAGTTGTAGATATCGTACACAGATACTATAAGAACACCAAATAAAAGATGGTACAGGGGTGCGCAAGAAGATTTATATCACTTGCCAATTATTTTCTACTTTATCTCTTCCTGTAGAGTTTCAAATTTTTACCATGAGTGCGCATTATTTATATAATTAAACACCCCACACAAATGTTTTCTAAAAGGCTAATATCTCCCCTTGTCCCTGTTTTTCTTGCCCATTAAGTATAACTCAATGAGCTGACAATTTGAGGAGATGAGACATTAACTGTACTAGCTAATCTGCCTACCACTCTGTACAAATAAGGTCAGTTTCAAACAGCCCATGATAACATATAATAAGTCAATGGAAGCACTTCAAAGCCACAAAGCACTTGTGGTTGGATGTGGAAGATAATATAATGATTTGTAGTTGCACAGAACCTTTCATCTAGGAATTTAAAACAGCTTCATACTCATCATCTCCCTAATCCACAGCACCCTTCCGAAGTAGACATGACACCTGCTCTAGGTAATGTAAGGAAGCTGCAGGCAGAATTAGGATGGACTTCTAAAGACTTAATTTACAGTCATCTACATTTAATCAGTCATCTACATTTTTATAACAAAGCAAGATGAACAGGTTCACAGAGTTTACAGGACATTCAATAAAACTACAGAATAAAAATTCTTAACCAAAAGTAATCTACTTTGCTTAGCAGACTGGCTGCTTACAAAAAATATGAAAGTGATTTTAAACCTACTACAAAAATTGTCCTTTGTTCACAAAAGAACAGACCCCAGCAACCAGGAAAGTTGAGGACTAAATTTGTAAACCCACCTAAGTAAAAAGATCATTTTTCTTTCCTGCCAAATTCCTATCATGTCACTTAATATAAATAAATATTTTTTAAGTGAAGAAAGCTTTATATTTTTGTGCTTGGATCAAAATAACCCTCTTACTCTTTGCCCCTTCCCTAAGGAGAAAACACAAACCTTGATCTTGGAGTCATTTTTGTTGGCGTTGGCACACCTTCTGAAATTTTATATGGATTCTTCAGGGGTGATATATAGATGTTCCCCCCAGGAATCCGTAAAGGTGAACTAGAAAACTTGTAAGGGCTTCGAGGAATGTGAGGTATTGGTGACAAGGTAGGGGGCTAGGGCAAAAACAAAAAGTAGATTATTTTTTTAATGTTTTAGTAAGATCCATTTTATAATTAGATTTTCCCAATCAAAGGATACTCCAACATACCCTGGTAGAAGCATACTGCAAAATATTTGTTTTCAGTCTCTGCATGAAGACCGAGTTATAGAATACTATAATGGAATCATACTCCTCTTCTCTGATCAAAACACGTTTGAATGTCTGAGAAAGAAGAATAAAAACACCTGTTAAATGAAAATCTCTTTACATTTTCTTTTTTAATAGATCATATTATTTTTTAACAGTAAGAATCACATATTACACAGGAAAAAATAATCCGAAACAGTCTTCTTAGGTTTGGATTATAGCTGCACTACCAGAAGTGAAATGTCACAGATTTTTTTAAAGTATATATACATGTAAAAATTTATTACAAATATCCTGTTTATTGCAAGGATGCAGTATTCCTTATTAACTTTATAATATGAATTTGGATATTAAAGTGCTTTACCTTTCTAATTCCATTTAGTTACAAAAAATTAACCAGTAATACAAAGGTAAAAAAATTGATACGTGAATTTACATAAAAAGGTCAGAATATATGATCTAATTAATGACTTACGTTATCCATATTATAGATATGGATATATCAAAAAAAAAATCTTACCGTGGAAGATTACCTACCTCCTGAACAGCATGAGGAAGATCCTTGTATGCCGTTACAATGATTTTGAATTTAAGGTCTATATTCTTCACTTTGCATATGCCATACATGGAACACATCATAATCTAGTAAATTAATGTGATATAAAAATATCAGAATTTTGTTACATAGTTGTGCTCTAAAAAGTACTGTTATCTTTCTTTTAGTTTCAGAAAATGGAAATTTAAGTTCCTACAGGATTATCTTTTCCTATCCTGAGCTCAGTTTGAAAGGTGATGTGAAGTGTTTAACCCAAATTGTGTTTAAAGAACAAAATGCAAAAGTCAAATCTTGATTATCAGAACTGATCATCTGGTTTGTAAATAACCCTAACTTTGACCCCTGTTCCTTAGATTTTTCCCAGAAAAGCTGAAACTGGAATCAGTTAACTGTGTAACTAGCACTTAAAAAAAAGCCAGTTGTGTCAAAGGTTCAAACTATCAGATAAAATAATACTGAATATACTCTGCGATGGTAGTAAGGGGCTTGGAAGGGGGCAGGACAGAGTCTTTGTATTGTAGGTAATGTTCTTGATTTGGATGCAGGTTATACAGATGAGTTCCGTTGATGAATTTGCATTAAGATGTATCCTTATGATAAATGGATGTTTTTATATGCATGTTATATTTCAATAAAGAGATTATTTTTAATGTAAAAATAAAATTTGAAATGATTCCCTACAAATTGAAAAAAATCAAACTTTCTTCATTTGTATGAATTTTATAGCCAAATTTAAGTACTCATATCTCTGCAACATTCTTGCTCATATCTACTATTGCCAAGAATATCTACTCATCATCCCTTGCTCAGCACCCTACCAGCCCCAATTCTACTATTCTTCCCATTCAGAACACCATCTAGTATCTTTTTTGCTAACTCACATTTTTTTCCTACTTCAGTTCTTTTCCTAAGGTACCTCTCTGCAAAAATCTTGATTTCAAATACTTAATCTCTTTAGAAATCCTTAGCACTATATTCTTTCTATATTGTAGAAAAGTATAAGGCAATGAGTGCCTACTTTTAAAAATCCAACCTACTAGAATTTATACATCCAAATATACTCTTGTAAAATATACATATTTGGAGGTTATACCCTTATAGAGTAATTCACTGCTGAAAATAACATTCTTATTGGGAACATTACTACTGACCTTACAGTAATAAAGGGATTATAAGGGAACTTTATGAACAACTGCATACCAACAAAACAGATAACTAAGATGGAACGGAAAATTTTAAGAAAAGACACAAACCACCAAAACTTACTAAAGAAGAAACAGAAAATATGAACTTGAATTAATAATCCAAAACTATCTGCAAACAAAAGTCCAGGCCCAGACGGCTTCACTGGTGAATTCTACCAAACCTTTAAAAAAGAATCAATACCAATTCTTCACAAACTTTTCTGAAATTAGAAGAGGGAACACTTCCCAATTAATTCTGTGAGGATAGTAGTACTCTGATATTAAAACCAGACATCAGAGGAAAATTACCATTATCTCTTATGATTATAGATGTAAACATCTTTAACAGAAACAAGCTGAATCCAGCAGCACATCAAATGTATTATATACTATGACCAAACAGGATTCATTCCCGAAATGCAAGGTTGGTTTAACATCTGAAAATCAATTAATGTAATATAACACTTATCAATACAATAAAAGGGGAAAAACTACAATGATCATCTCAATAGATACAGAAAAAGCATCTGACAAAATTCAACTGCCATTTTCATGATAAAAACAACTAGGAATAGATGGGAGCTTTCTCTACTTGATAAAGGGCATATACAAAAACTCCAGAGCTAACGATACATTTAATGGTGAAAGACTGAATGCTTTCCCCCAAGACCAGGAACAAGACAAGGATGCCCCTTCTTACCACTTTCATTCAACATTGTTTTGGAGGTTCTACACCACAGCAATTTGACAAGTAAATGAAATAACAGTCATCTAGATTGAAAAGGAAAAAGTGAAACTATCTCTATTTGAAGATAATATGATCTTATATATTGGAAATCTTAAGGAATCCACTAAAAACTATTAGAACTGATAAACTACTTCAACAAAACTGCAGGATAACAAGATCAATATATGAAAATTAATTGTATTTCTACACCCTTGTAATGAATAATGCAAACAAGAAATTAAATAAACAATTCCATTTACGATAGTGTTAAAAGGAATAAAATACTGAGGCATATAAATTTAATATAACAAGTACAAGACTATAACTCTGAAAATTTTAAAACATAACTGAAAAAAATTAAAGAACATCTAAATAAATGGAAAGACATCGTATCACACGTGCATGGGCTAGAATACTTAATATTGTTAAGATAAGAGAGCTCCTCAAATTGATCTATGATTCAGTATAATCCCTATCAAAATCCCAGTTGGCTTCTTTGCAGAAATTGACAAGCTGATCCTAAAATTCATATGGAAATGCAAGCTTCAGAATAGTACAACAAATCTTGAAGAAGAAGAGCAAAATTTCTTCCCTAGTTCTTCTTCTTTTTTTTTTTTTTTAAAGATTTTATTTATTTATTTGACAGAGAGAGACACAGCGAGAGAGGGAACACAAGCAGGGGGAGCGGAGGAGGGAGAAGCAGGCTTCCCGCTGAGCAGGGAGCCCGATGCGGGGCTCGATCCCAGGACCCTGGGATCATGACCTGAGCCAAAGGCAGACGCTTAACGACTGAGCCACCCAGGCGCCCCTATTTCTTCTTTTTTTAAAAGATGTATCTATTTACTTATTTTAGGGAGAAAGGGCGCACACAAGAGTGTGTGTGCGAGTGGGGGAGGGGCAGAGGGAGCAGGAGAGAATCTCAAGCAGACTCCCTGCTGAGCATGGAGCCCCAAGTGGGGCTCCATCTCATGACCCCGAGATCATGACCTGAGCTGAAATCAAGAGTCGGATGCTTAACTGACTGAGCCACCCAGGCGCCCCCACACTTCCATATTCCAAAATTTACTACAAAGTTACAGTAATTAAGACAGTGTTGCACTGGCATAAGAGGAGACATATAGATCGATGGAGTACAATTAAGAAACCAGAAATGAACTTTTACACATATACAGTTTGTTGATTTTTGACAACTGTCAACAGAGAAAGAAAAGACTTTTTAAGAAATGGTGCTGGAACAAGTAGTATTCACATACCAAAGAGTGAAGTTAGGCCCCCTATCTCACACCATACACAAAAATTAACTCAAAATCAATCAAAATGTAAATGTAAGAGCTAAAAGTATAAAACTCTTGGAGAAAAACAAGGATAAATATTCATATCTCTGATTTGGCAATGGTTTCTTAGGTATACACCAAAAGCAGCAGTAACAAAAGAAAAAAATAAACAGAACATGATCAAAATTAAAAACTTTTGTGCCTCAAAGGACACCATCAAGGAAGTGGAAAGACAACTCAGAGAACTGGAGAAAACATTTGCAAATGATATAAAATAAGGGACTTTTATGTAGATTACATAAAGAACACTTATAACTCAATAATAAATACACAACTCAATTTAAAAATATGCAAATGATCTGAGTAGATATTTCTCTGAAGAAGATATATAAATGGCCAATAAGCACATGAAAAGATTCTCAATCATTATCATTAGCCATCAGGGAAATTCAAATTAAAACCATAAAGAGATACCACTCTATACTAGGATGATTATAATCAAAAAAGCAAATAAGACGCTGGTGAGGATGTGGAGAAACTGGAAACTCATACGCTGCTGGTAGAAATGCAGAATGGTGTGGATATATTGGAAAACAATCTGGCCAGTCCTCAAAGGTTAGACATAGAGTTATCATATGACCTGGCAATTCTACTTCTAGGTATATATCCAAGAGAACTGGAAACATATATCCACACAAAACTTGTACATAAATGTTCATAGCAACATTATTCATAATAGCCAAAAAGAAGAAAACAAATGTACACCAAATGATGAACAGATAAATATGATGTGGTATATCCATACAATGTAATATTATTTGGCAATAGAAGGAATGAAGTACTGATACAAGCTATAACACAGATGAACAATGAAAACATTACACACTAAGTTAAAGAAACCAGGCACAAAAGACAACATATTATATCATTCCATTTATATAAAATGTCCCGAAACAGACAAATCTACAGACATATAAAGATCAGTGTTGCCTGGGTCTGGAGGAAGTAAGGGAACAGGAGGTGAGTGTTGAAGGGTATGGCATTTCTTTTTGGCATGATAAAAATGTTTTAAAAGTGATTTTGGTGATGGTTGCACAACTCTATGAATATACTAAAAACCACTGGATTATACACTTTATATGGGTAACGTGTATGGTATGTGAGTTTTATCTCAATAAGCTGTTACCAAAAAAATACTATTATTCTGCGTACAGAGAAGAAAAAGGAAGATATGAGAGATCATTCTCTGTAAATTAAGTCATTCGTTAGTTTGTTCATTCATTCATTCAATAGGCACTGTTTTAGATCAACTTGTTCTTAAGTCTCATGCTTTTTCCATACTAACATGAAATCTAGTTTACCACAAAACATAAAACCCCCAATAAACAGTTTTTCAATGATTTTTGTAAATAAGATCTTTTATGTCATTAAACAAGTTACTGAAATACTCTCAAGCTCTAAAGCTCTAAGAATTACAGCAAAATCATAAAAGGTGGCCAACAAATGCATATATATTAAGTCTGCTAAATTGATCTAGCTTCTCATTTGAATCTAATCTTTTAAGAAATCAGTACACAGTTAACAAATAAGTAGGAGAAGAGAGGTGAAGTGCATTATTTTCTTACCTGATCCAAATGCCTGTCTTTCATGAGTTCATACTCATTTTGCAGTGTGTGCTGAAAAAGGGTCCAGATGATGTGTTCTAGTTCTGGGTGGTCAGACAGCAGGCGTGCACACAGGGTATTTAGTCGAAGATATGCTAGTCGGTACACTGCAGAGATAAGGGGAATTAGTCATGTTTATTTTCATTTTGAATTACAAGTGGATTTTTCAAAATATTAAATTGTTATAACCACAATGCCATTAAGCAGCATTTTATTTTTTTGTTTTTTTCAAGTTTTTATTTAAAAGTCCAGTTAGTTAACATACAGTGTAATAGTAGTTTCAGGTGTAGAATTTAGTGATTCATCATTTCCATACAACACCCGGTGCTCATCACAAGTGCCCTCCTTAATCCCCATCACCTATTTCACCCACCTCCCGCTCTGGTAACCATCAGTTTGCTCTCCATAGGTAAGAGTCTGTCTCTTGGTTTTCCCTTTTTTCTTCCCCTATGTTCATCTGTTTTGTTTCTTCAATTTCACATATGAGTGAGATCATATCGTATTTGTCTTTCTCTGACTGACTAATTTCACCTAGCATAATACTCTAGCTCCATTCACATCATTGTAAATGGCAAGATTTCATTCATTTTTATGGCTGGGTAATATTCCATTACATATTTATACCGCATCTTTCTTACCTATTCATCAATCAATGGACACTTGGTCTGTTTCTATAGTTTGGCTATTGTAGATAATGCTGCTATATACACTGGGGTGCATGTATCCCTTCAAATTAGTATTTTTGTATCCTTTGGGTAAATACCTAGTTGTGCAATTGCTGGATTGCAGGGTAGCTCTATTTTTAACTTTTTGAGGAACCTTCATACTGTTTTCTAGGGGTGACTGCACCAGTTTGCATTCCCACCAATAGTAAACAGCATTTTAACAGTAACCTCACCTCTACCACTATTTTCTTTAAGAATAAATAATCCCTAGTCTTAGTACAGAGCTAGGTATGTAGAAGGCAAAATAATACTTGAATACTACCATAAGATTTATTTAGAAAGTCTATAAAAATACTACTGGGATATAGGTCTGGAGAAAAGGAATCCACAAAATTTAATTTTTTTCCATCTACTTTAAATATAATGACTCTTGTTTTAAATGTACCTTTCAAAGACTTGCATAAAGTAATCAGAATTTTTTAGTAAACTATCCCAGTGGTTCTCACTTTAGCATGCATCAGATTTGCTTTGAAGTTTTATTAAAATAAGGATTTTTTTTTTTTTTTTTGCACTTCATCCTAGAGTTTCTGATTGACTAGTTCTAAGATGGGTCCTAAACAAAAATTTTCCTTTCTACAACTTTCCAGGTAAGGTGGATTCTGCTGGTTGAGGACCACACTCTGGAAACACTGCTCTAACTTAAGAGTTTTCATACAACATGCCTGTAAAACTCAGTATATTTCTGACTTGAATAAAATGAGAAATGAGAAATGAGAAAAAAGATTTCTCACAGAGGAATCTGGCCTTTCATGTCCCTTCAGAGAGCTTCAGTGGGTGTGCACCTGCACATACAGCTGACTCTTAGACAACATGGGTTTGAACTAAGAGGGTCCACTTATACATGGATTTTTTTTTCGATAAATACAGGACAGTACTATAAATGTATTTTCCTTATGATTTTCTTAATAACATTTTCTTCTCTCTGGCTTACTTTATTGTAAGGGGTATAGTATATAATACATATAACATAAAATATGTGTTAATCAATTGTTTATGCTGTTGGTAAGGCTTCTAGTCAACAGTAGGCTATTAGTAAAGTTTCTGGGGAGTCAAAAAGTTTTATGTGGATTTTTGACTGCATGGGGGGATCAGAATGCCTAATCCCCACACTGTTCAAGGGTCAGCTGTATATACACATACACCCCTGCTCCACCTCATACACACATAATCAGAGAAGGCTGCACAACCTAATTACCAGGAAATGTGCCTACATTAGACTACAGCACACCGTACAATCTTAACTCTACCTACACACCTGCACAGCAAGAGTAATGTCAGGGGTAAATATTTCCAAACATAAATTTGAAAGCCCGACAAAAGCAGCGGCAGCAACAATAACAGCACCTGAGTGCTAACTATGTGCTAGGCACTGTTTGAAGCATTTTATGTATTAATTCATTTAATTAACTCAAAAACCTTATAAGGTAGATTATTATCATTACAAAATAGATTATTATTATTATTTCCACTTTATAGATGAAGAAACTGAGGCATAGAGATATTAAGTGACTTTGCCAAGGTCACACCTAGTAAGCAGAAGAGCCATGATTTGAACCCAGTCACAGCCAGGTTCCAGAGTCCTTCTTCTTGAAAATAATCACCTACTAACCTTTCTTGTAAAAAAGTGAAAGGGAGGTAGATTTCAATGGCTTCTGAGTCTGGAAGGCTGAGGTTGCTTGTGCCTCTGTGTTTGCAGTAGAATTTACACGTATAGTTGATCCTTTTTTCTTTGGGGATCTTACAGGAGAAAGATACCTAGACATATTCAAAGAAAAAACCTTCATTTGAAGTTCCCTAACAGTCTCTCTCTCTGTCTCTCTCTGCTTCTCTCTCTCTCTCTCTCTCTCTCTCTCTCTCTCACACACACACACACACACACACACACACACACACACAGATATACACATGCATCCGAACATATCTATTTAATCTGTTTTTCTATACCAAATTCCTTCTCTCAGCAAACGATTTTTAAAAATTTTTATTTAAATTCTAGTTATTTAACATACGGTGCAGTACTGGTTTCAGGAGTAGAATTCAGTGACTTATCACTTACATACAACACCCAGTGCTCATCACAACAAGTGCCCTCTTTAATGCCCATCACCCATCTAGCCCATTCCCCACCTACCACCCTCCATCACCCCTCAGTTTGTTCTCAATCGTTAAGAGTCTCTTATGGTTTGTTTCCTCTCTCTCTCTCTTTTTTTTTTTTACCTCTTCCCCTATGTTCATCTGTTTTGTTTCTTAATTCTACATATGAGTGAGATCATATGGCATTTGTCTTTCTCTGACTGACTTATTTTGCTTAGCATAATACACTCTAGCTCCATGTCACTGCAATTGGCAAGATTTCATTCTTTGTTTTATGACTGCATAATATTCCATTGTATATATTTACACCACATCATCTTTATCCATGCATCAATGGATGCACATTTGGGCTCTTTGCATAGGTTGGCTGTTGTTGATAGTGCTGCATGTGCCTCTTCATATCTCCATTTTTGTGTCCTTTGGGTAAATACCTAGCAGTGCAATTGCTGGATAATAGGTAGTTCTATTTGTAACTTTCTGAGGAACCTCTGTACTGTTTGCTAGAGTGGCTGTACCAGTTTCAGCAAGCTATTTAAACACAAGCTGGAAAAGATACAGCCTAATAGGAAAACTAAGCTTGTCATTATCATTTCTAACTATTTTAATGAATGGTTATTTCTGAGAGTTACTGATTTATTGATAAAAAGATAGCTGCACATGTATATATGTTCAACTTTAATAATTATAGTGAGATTGAGATCATAAAATAACTCCAGGTTAAAAGAATAAGTTATTGATACCAAAATAGTATTGTCATATTTCTGATTTTCCTCTTAAACATGTTTCATTGATAACTGTGGTTCATATATATGATAAAACAAATACCACCTAGTACAGAATTCTAGTATTCAGATACATTGTCAGGAAGATTTACACCTATATACTAAATATATCAGACATAAATCAACAGAGATATTAATAAATATTCTCTCTCAATTTCTGACATTCTACCACTCTTGTGTTGCTTTTTATAGGATAATCCCGATCTACACTCTAATTTTGTCTTAGTAGTTGAGAAATAATGCTAAGCAGGAAGGAGGATTTGTACTTTACTGTGGATGTTTCTACTACATGTAGGAATCACCATTAAAAGTAATCTTTTAAGTACCAGGGTCTAGTCTACTTCCAATCTTGGATTTCTCTTCAATTCACTAATTCACAATATTGTAGACAAACTTAACTTGGACAGGAGTTGGTCTCCCTGGAGTTCTAGGTACAAATATTCAACAACCTATAGAACATCACTGCTTGAATCTCAAACTTAAGAAGGCCAAAGGGGAGCTCTTGATTTCTTCCCTCTGTTTTTCCCAGCTCAATAAACGACTCCACATTACATCCAGTTACTTAAATCTAAAACCTAGAAGTTATTTTTAATTTCTCCCTTTTCCCAATTCCTCAAACTCAATGCAAAGCCAAGTCTTACTAAATCTTCCTCTAAAATACATCCTAGATCATTCCGTTTCTTTCTATCTCTACTGACATATCTTAGACCAAGTCACTTACATGTCTCACTTGGACTACTAAAACTCTCCAAATTGGTCTTCCTACTTCTTCCCTGTCCTCCTCCAAACCCACCTGCACTTCAAATAGCAGCCAGAAAATTGCCCTTTAAAAATACAAAGTATAGCAAGCTGCACCATTACTTAAAACCTTAATGCTTTCCCATTGCTCTGCTAAAATCCAAACCCTTTCCTATGGCCCATGGGAACCTAAAGGGTCTGGCCTCAGTTTGCCTCTCCAAACTCGTCTTGTACCCCCAAACTCCTCTTACTCACTTTAACCCCAGCCACACTGGGATTCTTTCTGTTCCTTGGACCAGCTAAGTTTGATCTGCCTTAGGGCCACTGTACTTGCTGTTTGCTCTGCCTGGAATGTACATGATGCAGATGTGTGCCTCGCCAGCATCCACTTGTCCCTGAGGTTTCAGGTCAAATATCACTTTATCAGAAAAAGCTTCCCTAAACATTCCTACACTCTCAATTTCTCTCACATCACTCTATTTCCATTATAGTACTTAGTATACTCTCTTTTTTCTTTTAAGTAATCTCTACTCCCAACATGGGGCTTGAACTCATAACCCCAAGATCAAGAGTCGCAGGCTCTACTGACTGAGCCAACCAGATGCCCAAATTTAGTATACTCTAAAAACACATCATGTATTAGTTTATTTCCCCCATAATATAAGCGCTATGAGGGGAAGAACCTAGTTCATCTTACTCGCCTTTTATTCCCAGTGCCTAGAAAACGTCCTGGCACTTAAGAAAAAGATAAGGCTTGACTTATTTATATTAGTGCATAACCTAGCAAACAAATTTATATGTGAAGGCAGAGGCACCATATGTTAGAAATACTTTGGGTACAAGTTAGCATGGAAAGGACATCTCTGGAAAACAGTCCCTGAACTAATCATAGGACATTATAATGTCAATTCCTAGACAGAACTAAATAGAAACAATAGTAGGCACATTTCTATGAAAGGCATAGTACCTGGAATATTTAAGAACATGAGTTTTGGGGTCAGACTGCTTGGGTTTGATTTCTGTTAACTTTTGGCAAGTTACCTTATCTCTCTAATTCCTCTTTTACAGATAACTGAGGCTGATAGCAGAATCTACTACCTTACAGGGCTGTTATGAAGATTAAATGGGAAAAAAAAAGAATCTCGAGTACTTAGGCAACTGTCCAGCACACAGTGAACCTTCAATAAATATTAGCTATTTGCTTTCTTCTTCCATCATCATCAGCATCATCATGTACTTATCAACTGATTTAGTCTCATATCCCACCCTAGTTCCTGTGCCTATCGCCTATCCTATGCTTTACCCCAAATGCACTGATCTGTACTCCCTGAAAATGTTTCCTGCTTTCCTGGCCTTACACTTTGGAATTCATGCCATTTTTGACTCTTGGAACACTTTGTGTCTCCTCTCTCCTCTCCAGTTTCCATACAGAAATCCTATTTTCCATCTTTCAGGCCTAACTAAATTGCCATCTCCACCATGAAAACTATCCTCCTTATAGCAACCCTGAGTGATCTCAGCCACACTCTGTACCACTTTATCTGATCTTTATTTGGGTCATGTGCCTTATATTCCTGCTTCTTCAAAGCAAGACCGATATCTTATTCAAAATTCTATTCCCTACAGTTTCTATATAGGATCTTGCATTATACCATGCTCAAAACCTAGTTGCAGGTTGAATGAAGTAGAAATGCTTCTACTTACATATCTGCTGCAGTGTGATTACTCTGGAGAGGAAGGTTGAGAGCACAAGCAGATTCAAGGTGATCAGCTGGTCCTTCTCGGTCTTTTGCTTGTTTAATCAGATCAAATAAAGGTGAATCCTACATGAAACCAGATGACATTAAACCCACATTGGTAAGTATGATTTTCCCATGTATTTATCAAAATCGTATTTTCTGACGTGGTGAGCACTACAGATTTAGTTACAATTGACAGCAGCAATTCAGAATCCAGATGAGATCCTTTTCTCCACCGTGAAAATACCAATCTCCCTACAAGAATATCAAGCATATCACGCACCTTTGGTTTTACCAGTGAAATCTACCAATCATTCAAAGAACAGATAATTCCACTTTTACTCAAATTCTTCGGAGAATGGAAAAAGTCGAAACATTCTTGATCTCATTTTATGGGGCTAGTACAACAGTGCTATGAAAACTTGTCAAGGACATCAAAAAGGAAATTATAGCCCATTCTCACTCATGAACAGAGATATAAAAATCCTAAACAAGAAATAATAGCAACCCAAATCAGCAGTGTCAAAAAGAGAATATATCATTACCAAAGTTGAGTATATCCATGTTGCAAAACTGGTTCAACATGAAAAAATCTATAATGCAATTCACCTCGCTAATAAGTAAGTCAAAGGTGAAAAATCTTATCAAAATCAATGAAGGAATAAGTTCTCATTTTAAAACCCATTTGTAATTGAAAGGAAAGGAAAGGAAAGGAAAGGAAAGGAAAGGAAAGGAAAGGAAAGGAAAGGAAAGGAAAGGAAAGGAAAGAAAGAAGGAAGGAAGGAAGGAAGGAAGGAAGAAAGAAAGAGCGAACTTAATTCAACCAGGAATGGCAAGGTACTTCCTAATTTGATAAATGGCATATACAAACATACCAAAACCCATAGCAAACAATGTAATGGTGAAACATTACAAGCATTGCCCTTAAAAAATCAGAGACAACAAAAGGATGCCTATTATCAATCTTTCTATTCAACACTGTACGTGAGGTTCCAGCTGGCTCAAAAAGGAAAAGAAATATAAGATTAAAGTATTAAATGAAAAAAATGACAATACCATTATTCACAATATGAAAAATAATTACACTTCTATATATCAAGCAAAAAGTTTGAAAGTATCTAATTTTTAAAATATCATTTACAAAAACATAAGACCAGCAGTAAAAGTCACTAAAATACTGATTCAAAATTTATAATTTTCTGGAGGCGACAGCTTACAAGTTCATAAAAAGGGGGCCCTTACACGTTTTACTTTTTTATTTTTTTATTTTTTTAAAGATGTTACTTATTTATTTGACAGAGAGAGACCCAGCGAGAGAGGGAACACAAGCGGGGGGAGTGGGAGAAGCAGGCTTCCTGCTGAGCAGGGAGCCCGATGCGGGGCTTGGTCCCAGGACCCTGGGATCATGACCTGAGCTGAAGGCAGATGCTTAACGACTGAGCCACCCAGGCGCCCCTGTTTTACTTTTTTAATCCATGAACTAAGAACAACAAGAAAACAGACAGATTGCCAAGATACTGGGTTTATATCAAAAGGGAAAGTGGCACAACAGTAAGTAAATATACAAAGCAATGTAGAAAATAAGTAGATTTTGTAAAAATATTAAGAATAGTCCATTCAATGAAGTGTTGAAAAACTTAGCAATCTGAAAGGAAGAGATCATTATACTTTCACAATATATAGAAAATGAATTACTTATATTAAAAAACAAAATTTAAAAATCATTAGAAATAAATACAGTATCTTTACAACTTCTTGATAAGGAAGGACTTTGTGGGTTTGATCAAAACCCAGAAATGATAAAGAAAAAAATTTCTGTTTGACTAAAACCACAATAAACTAAGTTAAGCTAAATCTTTAAAAAATAAACAGTATTGGAGTTTTTTCTATAACCCCCATAATGTTATTTTTTAAAAGATTTTTTATTTATTTTTGTGTGAGAGAGAGAGAGAGAGAGAATGAATGGGGGCGGGGGGCAGAGGCAGAAGCACACTCCCCACTGAACAGGGAGCCTGATGTGAGACTTGATCCCAGGACCCTGGGATCATGACCTGAGCAGAAGGCAGACGGTTAACTGACTGAGATGCCCAGGCGCCATATAATGTAATTTTTATTATCAAGTAATTCTTTCCTATTCTTTCCTTTCATTAAGGGCACTCTGAAGTGCAATCTAAGTAAGCGCTTTCATCGGAGTAAAGTAATGCTAACAACACCAGCTAATGCATGGATGTCATAGTCAGTGTTTTACATTTTCTAGGTACTGACAAATTATATACAAAATTATAGATGCTCTTCAACAGACGAATGAATAAAGAAGATGTGTTCCATATACAATGGAATAATACTCAGCCATCAGAAAGGATGAATACCCAACTTTTACATCAATGTGGATGGGACTGGAGGAGATTATGCTAAGTGAAATAAGTCAAGCAGAGAAAGTTAATTATCATATGGTTTCACTTATTTGTGGAACATAAGGAATAGCATGGAGGACATTAGGAGAAGGAAGGGAAAAATGAAGGGGAGGAAATTGGAGGGAGAGATGAACCATGAGAGACTATGGACTCCGAGACTCCAAACTGGGGGTTTTAGAGGGGATGGGGGTGGGGGGATGGGTTAGCCTGGTGATGGGTATTAAGGAGGGCACGTACTGCATGGAGCACTGGGTGTTATATGAAAACAATGATCATGGATCACTACATCAAAAACTAATGATGTATTGTATGGTGACTAACAACATAATAAAAAAATATTTAACTAAAATAGTGTGGATGTAAATCCACATATATTCAGCAGAAGTGGCCTATTTCCATTTTTCTCTCTATGACATTTTAAGAGACCCTAAGGCTCACAAAGAAGGAAAAAATGAAACAAGATGAAACCAGAGAGGGAGACAAGCCATAAGCGACTCTTAATCTCAGGAAACAAACTGAGGGTTGCTGGAGTGGAGGGGGTAGGAGGGATGGGGTGGCTGGGTGATGGACACTAGGGAGGGTATGTGTTGTGGGGAGTGCTGTGAATTGTGTAAGACTGATGAATCATAGACCTGTACCCCTGAAACAAATAATACATTATATGTTCATTAAAAAAATTAAAAAAAAAAAAGACAAAGAAATGCAAGTAAACCTGACCCTTTATAGGATTTAGGTATGCTACTAATCAGGCATTTTACTTCCTCTTCAGATTAGCCTCCTCCAAGGATTAAGGTAGCATTTTTTACCAATAGTCTTTATGTTTCACTCAAGTATCACTTTTATTACTTCATCTCCCCCAACCCAAGTAGTCACACAGATCTATAGATATAAGTTTATGATAATGAGTATGTCATGATAATGGGAGGAAGTATAGTGCCGTGGACAGGTGTGAGACTCTGGAGCCACATGACATGGGTTCACATCCTGGCCCTTACTGGTTGCATGACTTTGAACAAGTTGCTTAACTTCATTATGACCCTCTTTTCTCAACTGTAAAGTGTAGATACTAACGACAATACTTAAATCACAAAATTGTGAGAATTAAGTGAATTAATAAATGTGTTAAGCATTTACAACAGAGCCGGGCACAGAGTAAGTGTTATGTAAACATTTGAAATTATTGTAACATTTGAAATTATTATGGTTAAGTTCTTACTTAATACATCTAAATAAATGCCTTTATACAAAGGACAATGTATCTGTTCAAATGTATGAAGGTCCACCTCATATATTCATACATTCCATCCATCCACCCAATATTTGTTGTCTACTCTGTAAGACACTCTATGGTAGAAAGTAATAATTATAAACAATCCCCCGATTGCCAGATATCAATGGACTTGAAGAATCATTTCAGAGGCATCTGTCCTCTTCCACCTGTAACTCAACTTGTTCAATTGATGTCTATGTGTAAAATAAACTTTAACAATCCTCTACCACCAAAAAACTGCTGCTCTTTTCTAGTTTTTCCCATATCATTATCGTTCCTTATATACAGTTGTCCAAAGAAAAAAGGAGTCATCTTTACTCTTTCCCTTGAACTCCACTATCCAATCCTGGGAAGTCATGTTGCTCTAACTTCAAAATACATCCCAAGTCTAACTTCTCATCATCTCTAACATTACTATAGTCTAAGCCATTACTATCTCTTGTCTACACTACCACAAAGGCATCTTCCAACTGGTTCTCATACTTCCACTCTTGCTGCCTCTCAGTTCTTCCCAATAAAGCTGATAAACTACTCCCCACGCCCTCCCCACTACTCAAAACCCTCCAATGACTTCCCATCTACACTAGAATAAATCCAAACTCTTTATCCTGGCTTACTAAGCCAGGACCCCTTGAGATCTGGCCCCCTCTTAGGCCTACTTTCTACTACTTTCCTCCTTACTTACTCCTGCCATACTGGTAATCTTTCTGTTCCTTGAACACAGCATGATTCTCCCTGTCTCAGTTTCTGTATTTACTGTTTCCTCTGTTTGCAATGCTCTTTACCAGAGCTTCCCATGACTCAACCCACTCCATTATTCACGCTGTCTCCTCAAATAGCATCTCCTCGGCAAAGCCTTCTCTGAACATCCTGTCCAAGACAGTCATAATTCCCACTTTACTACTACTCCCAACTTTGCTCTATTTTCTTCACAGTACTGATCACTATCTGAAATCGTATTATGTATTCATTTGTTTACTTGTTTATTAACTGTCTCCTTCAGTTATCTTGTTCACAACAGTATCCCCAATGTCTACAACTGCCTACACACAGTAGGGACTCAATAAACATTTGTTGAATAAATGAAAAAAGTGAGTAGGCAAAAGTGTTCAAAGTCCTTTGAGGTTAATTCCACTTTAATATATACCCTAGATCCTTTAAAAATAAAATATTTACCTACTCCTTTCCCCCATCTTTTTCCTGTAAGCATTAGTCAAACACATATGTATGTGTACCTTAAACAAAGAAAATAAAAACATGAAAATTATTTCAGAATGCCTATTATTTACAAGACATTTTTTTCAAAGTGAAGTACAGTGGAGCACTTAGGCAACCTACAGCAAAACTAAAAATTAGTTTTGTCTGTAAAAACCATATCCACTAAACATCAAACATTTACT